TGAGTTTCCAAGAAGATATTTGGAGATCAACTAATGCTGAAACTTTCATCAGCATCAATTTTTCGGACATTGCGGTGGGTGTGGCACATGATGGGCAACAATTTGTTCATCCGAAATTATCGTACAAGTATATTTATTCGTTTACTAAAAAAAAACTACCATGCAATTTAGGTTTTCCCCACTCTGGTGAAATTAAAATATAGTCCATTTAACATACGAATAATTTTCTAAATTGTCACAAATCAAAAGAGATTGGATAAATATTTCCATTAGTCTTCCGCATAAGGTATAGCAATGGGCATAAGGCAAATTGAAAGGGGAATTTAATTTCTATAACCGCTCCCATTTTTCGTCTAAATGAAGATAAAAAAACTTGATATATATTAGAAAACCTCACTAATTAGGATGAAACAAGGAAGATAGGGTAGGTAACCATGTAATGAATAATTAAGACCATACATTATCATGGGATATATGAAATCAGTTATATTTCGTTAGGATTAGAATAAAGTGTATTCGTTATTTGATAACTTGAAATGTTTCGATCTGTGTAAAAATACTTTTTCTCAACTTAAATTTTCGCTCTTTATCAAATAACGGAGCTGTTAATTTAAATTTCATCCACAATCTAGGGAAACGGTGAGACTGTCGAGAACTTGTCTATCTGCTACTGGGCCGCCGTCACGCGACTGACGGGCTATGTCACCCACTTTTCCTACGCCACCTCAAGAGAGAATCTCAATGCTCTGACTTTCTGTAAGTTCAATATAATTTCGTATCTTCTACCAATTTTGCTCATCAAATACAGTGGCATTAAATATTGAATGAATTTGTCTCAGTTCAATGCACTTAATTAAAAAAAAAAAAGTTGTAGTTGTAAAATAAAGTTTAGGGAAAGTAATGTCTATAGAGGTAATCATAGAGCCCTGATTATTTGTAAGTTTAACACAATTTAAAATGTCCTACCATTTTAATCCATAAATACGGCTCAGTTCAATGCACTTAATGAATAAACCGAAAGTCTATAGTTATTGAACTTAAGTCAATGAGCGCGACATTTTTCTTTTCAGTGATGACAGATACGGAATATATTATATACTACAATTCACTGCGGTATGTGGCTGTTCCTAAAGGTTTCGACCATCTTCGTTTGAACTCGTGGTCATGTTTCTGCCACCTACTGAAAGGTGGTGAGTATACGGCCTGGAGGGATGGAGTCAAAATTTTAGACGCAAAAATTGACCAAGCTTCACAACGAATGCCTTTAAATGGGACATTCATTATGGGTCAAGAACAAGATCTCCTGGGTGGAGGTTTTAATACTCAAGAAAGCTTCCGAGGGAAAATCGCACTCCTTAACATCTGGAATCACACCATTGACCAACAGAAGATCGTGGAAATGAGTGAATGTCGTTCGATTGGAAAGGGGAATATGTTTCCTCTTCAAAAGAACGCCGTAAAGGAGTTTAATGTCTCAGAAGACCACGTCTCGATGACGGAGTTCTGCGCCGACGAAGACGACTACTGGTTGCTAGACGGTCCGAACACCTTTCAGGAGTCGGTACGTTTGTGCCGCGCTTTTGGGGGTTCCTTACACGCACCAAATACTAGAGAAGCTGTGACCAAACTCTACGATTACATAACCGATCCAAATTGCGTCTGCAAATTCATCACTAATGTTATTGTCGGCATTACTGATGAGAAAGAAGAAGGAAATTGGAGCACGATTGCAAGTGGAGAGACCATGAAAGAAAACTTTTTTCTGGCTGGTGAACCGAATGGCGGTCGAGGTGAAAACTGCGCCGTCATGTCCAGGAAAGTAGCTGCTTTTATAGATTACAATTGCGAAGAAATTTGGCCGTATTGCGCTCCATGTGTGACGTATCGACCTCTAAGAATTCGTGGCTTGTGCTTCAACTCTGAAGCGGAGACTTTCATGGATCTGAAAGGATATGTTAATGAATCTATTTTTATCCGTGGTTACTATGGAATCAACATCCACAACATGCTAGGTACGAGCGAATGGCACATTTTCGATTCCAATTTGCAGAAAGTTATTGCAGAAATACATCTTTCATCCGACGAAAATTATCCCATCGGTAGGAAGATGTGGACGTTAAAATCAAAAACTTGCAACCACCGCGAGGGTTCACTTGTTCCGTTAGTTATCAGTCCATGCAACCGAGAAGAATACGCGTGCAAGAATGCAGACTGTATCCCTCGTAGCCAGCTGTGTGACGGTGTTTCCGACTGTGTAGACTTATCCGACGAAAACAGTTGCAACATTCTTGGTGTACCTGAAGGCTACAAAATCATTCGCCCGCCCGAAAAAGAATTCGGTAATACTGGTCCAATTTCCATGTCTGTTCATGTCGATGTGTTGCGGTTCCTGGAAGTGGACGACATCCGGAACTTGATAAACTTGGAGGCCAAAATTGAAATGAAATGGCGGGACCGACGTCTCACGTACTATAATTTAGGCGACAAGATTGAAGACAACGAGTTGCCGATAAGTGACTTGGATCGGATTTGGACGCCAACGCTCGTTTTTCCTTCAGTCTATAGGGGATTAATCAACACGATCAGAGAAGAGTTACATGTTTTAAAAAACGGCACTCGCATGCAGGACGACTTCAACTCCATCCACACTAGTAAGTCGGGCGAGGGAAATATAGTGCCTAAGTTACTATATAGATATAGGTTATAGTTCAAGGCCCTGTCATATAACAGATAATTCAGCCCAAATGATCCTTGTAAAATTAATTTCACGACACGATACGACGAAATGAATTCTGAAAATCTTCGTGGAAACATCGAGGAGAAATTAGACAAAGATTGATTTTTATACGCCCTGGAAAATTTCAATTGATAATATGTATAAAGTTCCAGTTCCTTTCACTTTTAATTCGCCATGTGATTGAATTATTTTGCAGATTTTGAATATGCAGGGGCGGCAGCTTACTTGGTAATCCAGAAGCACGTAAGGTATGAAGGTTCTTAACCTGAGTACTAGGCTTTCCCGTAGCATTGTAAGGGGGTGGTTCCGTGATTTTCGTTGCCCACACAAATTGAGACCAAAGTAACCGTATTACTATGTTCACAGATTAAGACTGATTAAAATATTTTATCAAGCTAGCTTCACTTAAACTCACTGAATCCACGAGAAAAAGTAAATTTTTTCATCTTTCTTATGATTGAGAGCAAATTCAAATTTGGTTCTTTACTATTGAAAATAAGATTCAAAATATACTTTTTTTTCTTGTTCAATCAGCGGGAAGTTTGCGTGTGTGTTCGACGTGTTCCGGTACCCGTTCGACGTGCACCGCTGCGAGCTGCTGGTGCGACTCGGCTTCTCGTCTGAGCGACTCGTGACGTTCACAAACGACAGACTCTCGCTTGTTTACTCCGGCGCTAAAAAGCTTGTCCAGTTCTCCGTAGAGAACATGACTGCGCAAGTTATCAGTGTGCAGCAGAATACAACGTACTTCACTGGCGTCAAGGTAATATATTTACCTTGACGCTAATGGTAATATTTGCAGCTAATCGGCAAAATATCTGTTACTTGAGTCTTCCTCAAACCCCTTCATCTTTCCAACAAAGATGACAGGAACATTTGTAGCATAATACTAAGAAGAATATGAATTTTATGATTTAAATAAGTTTTTCCCCTTTTTGCAGATTTAAATTCGATATTCTGTTAGTTGTTCAGACTGAATAAAAACTAAAATTTAACACACAGATCGACATCCTCCTTGCACGCATACCCAACGTCGTGATGCTCACCTTGTTCCTGCCGACGTTTCTGCTGGCCTGTATTGGCTATGCAACATTGTACGTGAAGGTTGACAATTTGGAGGTGAATAAATATAAATACAAGAAGATTATGTATATCTGAAGTATTATCACACACTTTTTTACTTTTAAGTTTCCGATAATATACTTGGATTGACAGTAAATGAATTCAATTTATATAATCAGAGTAGGTTTCTTGTAAGTCATCAGATCATTTAAAATTTCCAGGTACGTTTGGCTGTAGCTCTCACAACGCTGCTGGTGCTCTACACTCTCTTCGACCAAACTTCAGGAGACCTTCCGAGCACAGCTTACGTGAAGATGGTAGACATTTGGTTCTTTGCAGTCATTACTTTGCTCTTCATAATCATCGTGTTCCATGTCTTCGTGGAGTATCTGGACCAAGAACAAGATTCACGCCCGTCATTACAGCAGTTGTTGACTAAAAACGATCTAAAAGTCGGCAAATTTCTTGGAGTTAGATCCGCCTGGACATTGCCAGAAGAAAATCAGGAATCGCCGGAAAGATTGATGATGATAATGAGGGTTTTTGTTGTTCCGATTCTGTTTGTGCTGTTCAATGCAACGTTCTGGATCTATTGGTTTGCATGAAGAAAGTATACAAGGGTTTGAAACATTAGTTTTTTCTTACCAGTGGGAAACTTAAAGAGTTTTGTAGTAGTTAATGGTTGGAATTGAATGATATTTATTCAAAATGCACAAATCGTTAACCAGCTGTCGTACTAAATATATTAAATACAGTCAATGTTCTTTTAAAGATTTAATGACGGAATGGTTAATTCCATCATAACATAATCGTATAATCACAGGTTCACTGTTAATGAAACTTATTTACTTAGTTAAAACATCTTTTATTACAAACCAAAAATCATAATCTACAGCTAATGAGTGAAATACTGTAGAATACGTCAGCAAAAGTACAAGCGTCGAACATTATAATATAAGCGTTGTTAAGGAATTGTACACATATGTTCATATTTCATAGTAACATTTTTTCCATTTTCATTTAGAGCTTTCCATGCTTTAGGTTATGCAAACATCCGGGATTCATTCATTTCATGTTTTAGTTACGCGCTGGCAAGGACTACCACCTTGCACAACGCATTTGTACACACGTGTTTTACTGAATATATTGTGAACTCGTGTTTTATCTCAACTGAACCTTTTCACGACCGTATCGAGATACAATGATAGAGAGGTAGTCCCCCAGCATCGTTCCAAGCTAAAGCTTATGGAATGATTTAAAACATTTGTGTTCATATTCTTCCTCGTCTTATTTGATGTCCACATAATTTAGATTTTGCGTAGACACAACACTTTACTGCATTATATGTGAATCAATAATTTAAAACTCTCACATTTACAACTAATGTTATAATAAACGATATTCAAGGCTCAAGAGCCATGCAACAAAAACGTGCAACAAAATCGCCATTGACATAATCAACTTCTATGCGCGACTCTCAGCATCTTAAAACAACTGTACCAATCAAGACTTTCTAGGAGTTCGATGAGAAAAATTATTTCAATGTTGTTAATAGAACGTTCATTGAGAATTATTTCTATAAAACTTCAAATCTTGGCTCATCACATAGCTTCTCCTCTCACAATACTTAAATGATTAAGTTCAAATAATTACAACAAATTCATTTTACAAGCTAAAGAAAGAAAGCAGCCCAAAAACCTACATTCAAGGAGAGGAAAATCAAAGGAACGATGGCACAGCGGGTAATACGAAGACCTTTTTCCGCATTTGTTTCTAGTTCCACTTTTGTGTTCAGACGTACTGAAACTTTTGCCACATTGTCTTTGAACGCACGGAACTTCATCCAGTCGACAACCACGTGGGTTATGCTCATCACGAAAATAAGAGATATAATTGTCAAAAACCAAATATCTATCATCTTTATGTATGCTGTGGTAGGCAAGGTAGTTGATACTTGATTAAATAGCGTGTACAAAACCAGCATCGTCGTCAAAGCTACTGGCAAACGCACCTGAAAATAGAAAATTTCTTTGTCACAGACATGAATGATTGAAAAGAATGAAATATTTCCTCTAGTATGTTAACACTGGAAGTTTTAATGACGAAAAAATTACCATTGACAACAAAATTAAAATTCAAGAGTGAGATTCTCTGATTAAACAACAAACAAGATTATCATAGTGATGCCGGCGCTGAAGAATAGGCCTGATGTGGTCTGTCGCCGATTATGATTAACCGTTTAAATGCTGTCATTTAGTACTCACTTGTAACAGTTCCAGTCGTATGTACAAAGTAGAGTACCCAATAATGCTCAGCATGAAGCTGGGTAGGAGGATGTTCATCATAACCATGCCTGGAATTCGTTCCAGGATTATGGTTACCTAAGCATGACGATAGCATAAATTAGGATGGAAACGAAATGAATTTCATCAAAGCATAAATATATTAAGCTGTTACCGGTATTTATGATAAAAAAAATTTCAAAGTAGAAAGTGTGTTGTTATTATCCACAATATATTATATCATCAACTTATATGGAATATCACATAGAGAAATTAAAAACAAAAATTTATAGAATATTGATTTTGAAAACAAACTACCTTAGACAGAGAGTGAGACTTTAAATTAAGGCAAAATGACGTTGTTTTGAAACATTCTTTGAAAACGACATCCGAAAAAGTAACTAGACGAATACTCCTGTCATGGCCAAATAATGTCACAGGATATGAAATCGCAAAGGTAGCACTCGGGCGAGATGTCTATAAGCACGAGGCTTGCAACCAAAATATTTGGTTTTACATATTTGTTTTTATAAAAAAGTATTTGGTTTTTACCTTTTACCAACTGATAACCTAACATTTTAAGTAATCAGTTGATATTTTTAAAAGGTAACCGTACGAAGTGTGGGTGAGAAATAAAATGATAACCTGATAGGTAGCTGCGAAGTTACAGATTATAATAAATTATAGCGAACGTATCCACAATATTAGTATTGAGATAATATTTTGTAGCATTAGTGTGTAAAATTGTGTTAGTTCTTATGTTTACATGTTTAACAGCTAAGAGCTGATAGATGAAACTTACAATAGCTTGAGTTCTATTCAGCAGAGACACCAAATTTGAGTACAGAACATATTTTAATAATTTATACGGTCTACCTTTCTATAGTTATTTTGATGATTACTAATATGATTATACCATGACAGCAGCACAATGTACGGACTTACAGTGGACCCTGTCTATAACCTATACATGTCGAACATTTTATAATCCTGGAACCAGTGATGATTTTAAAATCAATAGGATAACCCGGGATTGCCAATAATTTTCTTCACCTTTAGCTCGGTGTTTGAAGAGTTCCTAAAATTCACGCTTGATGCAATTGCTGTCATGTTCTGCACGTTGAATTCTTTCAGTTTGTTAGCGCCGGTGTAAATGAGCGAGAGGCTGTCGTTAGTGAACGTCACAAGTCGCTCAGACGAGAAGCCGAGTCGCACCAGCAGCTCGCAACGGTGTACGTCGAACGGGTACCGGAACACGTCGAACACACACGCAAACTTCCCGCTAATCAGACGAGTAAATTGTGAGGCATACTTTCAAAATTAAAAGAAGTAAATTAAAATTTGTTTTCGATTGCGAATATGGTGTGTAATACGAGCTTTTTTCCCTTATTAAGTGAATTTAATCAATTCAGTGTACTTACCAAACTATTCTAACGATGAATTTATCCTAATCTAAAGGAGTAAATTATGTAGCTTTTTTATTGAATATTTTTACCTACTTTTCAAATACGTAAGCAGCACCACCAAATTGTGTTCATTCAATAGTTATATACTCGTATACGTAGAGCAGGAAGGCTGGGTGATGGGTGAAAGTCAAGTTTAATTGTTTTCAATGCATGTACATTGTAAGGCTTTTTATTTGCTCACTTTACATGTTGGGTATTGACCAGTAGTCCTGATCCCCGGTTGAACAGCGAAGCTGTGACATAACGAAATATCAGTAAATTTTCTATTTCAGTGTCTATTTGTATGACATAGCCAAAAACACATGAAAATGAAAAAATTAATAAATTTTACTGCATAGCTTTTAGATCTACGAGGCAAAGTAATTTTCTCGGACTTGTTTGAAAATAATTAAATTCTGCAACTGACCTCTTTCAACCGAGTTGAAATCCGACAGCATTCCAGTTCCCAGTTTACTGACATGGACAGAAAATTCGTCTGAACCGTCACGACAGTCCGACACTCCATTGCAGGCGAATTTGAACGGCAAGCATTGACCAGAGTCGCACGAAAATTCGTCATCGGAGCATGACGAAAGACTCAACAAAATCGAAGTTCCTTTCACAAAACCACATTGGTTCCGTAACAGAACCCACTTGTTCCTGCCGATTGGAAATTTTTTCTTATTAGAAACTTGGACTAGCGCAACTGACTGGCCCAGAACTGCATCATAAATAAGCCATTCATGATTTGCTTCCATTCGATGTATAATCCAACCACAATAACCGAAGAAATATGCTTCCTTATTAACGTATCCCGAGAGTTCAAATATAGATTCTTCCGCTGATGCAAAGCATAATCCACGTAGTCGCATGAACCTGCCTGGCACTCTTTGGCATACAGCGCACGACACTCGGCGATCATCACACGCCCAGTCATACCAAGTAGGATTTCGAACGAAAAGACCGGCGCAGTTCTCGTTCTTACCACCATCAGGTTCAGGGTAGCCGAAATTGAGGTAATCTGCAATCGTTCCATCGACGTCTCGCCTCCACACGCCTTCTTCATCACTGTCGTTGAGGCCTAACCAAATATTAGCTGTGGCTCTGCAGGTGACGTGGGGATTTTGGAAGTTTTGCGTCAACTCCAAGAGTGCAAATTCGGATTCAAGAACGACGAGCTTGCAAGCAAATTGGTCGCACATTTCGAAAGTTTCTGCACGAGAATTGACGCCTCCGATCAAAGTTACAAACAAATCTTTTTCGCACAATGAGGTTGAGCTGACGATTTTAGAATCCACATTAAAAATTTCAAGACTATGCTCATCAGATGAAAATATATCACCGATTTCTAGCGTACGACAGTCCCTAAATGATATTATTTCAGTCTCATTTAGCAGGCGACTCCAAATATTGACTTGTGCTATCCTTCCTCGTAAGATTTCGCTTTTCGAAAATGAGCCTGAGAGGGCATCCTGCTCTTGCCCGATTATTAGAGTCCCATTAAGAGGCAAACCTTTGAAAAAACTTTTTAGTTTTTCATCTGTGTAAGTCAGGATTCCATTAAGATACGCTTTGAAACCATATTCATCACTGAAACTGAAGCAATAGTTGATCCAAGAATGCATTTCTATGGTAGCTGTGAGCTGGTACTGTTGAACCCCAAGTTCATTATAGTTGTAGGCATGAAAGTTTCGTGTTTGAACTGTAAAAACAAAAGCACAAATGGATGAATATCAAATCATTTAAAAGTCGACAATACTTCAACGGTTAACCAACTTCAAACAATATAAAATTTGCCAAAGATTCACGCATAAATTCATTCCGTAAACGAAATACTCGCATAGAGTTAAGGCGTTGTCCATGTCGTCCGATGTGGCGTAAGATACGTGGATGATGACAGAATTCAGCTGCTGAAGTCGCACCCAGTAACAAATTGTGAAGTCCTCCAGTAAATTGGGAACATCCTAAATATTTCATCATGAGGTCATGAATAAATTGTGAAATAATCCAGGGGCCATACTTTCAAAAAAGTTAAGAGATTGTAAGTTCATCGGCCAATCATTGACGGCCTTTCAAGCAAAATCCACCAATCATAGACAAGAAAATAGAGCGTAAGTACTTACGTTCACTAAGCGTGTTTTGAAAGTATGGCCCCGGTCAGTGATTAGGTGCTGAATCGGGAATATAATTGTTGCGATCTAATCATGGCGCAGTTATTTAATAAATGATCTTGGACAACCTTTTATTTCATCATCAAAACATTATCCTAACCAAGAATATTGTGTCGGGCTTAATTTAACAGAGCTATTTATCAATAACAGGGGACTAAGGGATTAAAATCTAACCTAATAAACAAAGACATCAAATAATGGATATTTGTTCAGGGCAAACTAAAAGCATTTAAAATGACCAGTGGAAAAAGGTGTAATTCTAGAATATGGAACCTTCGGCTTCATTCCTACATTAGCATACAACATGCATTTTTGTGGCGCAGCGAGAAAATATTGCCTATTATTGCAACACCTTCCGGTGAAATCAATGCCAACGTACTCGCTGAATTTGAATCTCATTCCGCTAGGGTTTCTTTCAGAAATATACGTATATGATCTTTGGTCAAATGAAATTAGAAACCTAATTTTGAAGACTAAACCGAATAAGACTTGATCTCTACTTTTGTATACCGCACTTGTCTTGTGGAGAAATTATGCCTCAGGAAGACGTCAGTGCGCGGTGGCTGCCAAATATCATCTTGTAGATAATAAACTTTGGTGAATTTTCCTGAAAGGCATAAACATTTATGCTTTATTTGGATAAGAGGAAATAGAAGCTCATGAAATTTAATGTGACTGAGATAAAAAAGTACAATAAAACTTCTATTACTCATTGTATCACAAGACTTAATAGCAACATATGCTACCGATACAGTATCAGGCCAGCAATTCATGGCAGTACCGACAATCAGGATAGTATCAGGGCAAGGATCGAGTCAAATCTATTGATAAAGTATTTCATAAAATTACATGTCCAGTATGTATCCTTCATATAAATTTATCTGAGCTTCACATGGTGTCTCCTTACGATCTCTCTTATTTACAAACACTACCAAAATCAAGCACCTACCTGCATGGATGGAAGACAACGCACACGAAAATATGGAGTGAATAATAATTTGATGCACAAGCGATGAAAGGAGCGTATCCCGAATACGGGCGTCAGATTTCCTTGACATTTTTAGATGAATTTAGTAGATAAAAACCACCAATAAGACACCGCTTTCATTTGTAGAAATAAGTATCCATGAATGTGTTCCTTATTCAGTGGGAACTAATTGGTTTTCATGCCCTTGCTTAGAACGGTGAACAATGTAAGCATAATGATTTATTAGTCACATGAAAAATTTGTTTTTATTCAAGAAATTGTAATCATTTATAGCAGGAAAAAAATTAAATTTTGCATCCGTTTAGAAAATTTGAAGGGAAGATACCCTGCCTTTTATTTTCTGTGCCAAAATCAATGTTGCTTCCTTTCAAAGATACGCCGAAATACTATTTCAATTTTATACGTGTTCAGTAATACACAGCCAAAATAGACTGGTCCTTCTCCTCGATAAACATAAATGTGTGTGAACCCAAGGATATTTTATACGTGGACTTCAAATAATTCAGGCTGCCATAAGAAGTCCAGATATTGCATTATTCAAAATTAATGCACAATGGTTTTTGTATTGAATTAGGAAAACGTCATTCATTCGTTCTCGTCTTATTATAATTAATAGTTTTCTGAATGGACACCTCAACTGCTATTGACGAACCCTTCATCTCTTCCCAATGGCTGTGGGCCGTTGATGGAAGTCATCGATTTCTGATAGTCGTTCCAGAACGACTTGAATGAGTGTGCATTAACTCGTGAATGGACCCAAGATTAAAGTGAAATTAATCTTTCCAAATGAAGCCATCGATTTGACCAATTTGTGACAGAAACGAACGAATGAAAAATGAAAGTCCTTCTAACGCAATGGATAACCTAGCGTGCATGGAAACCAATTGAGGATGAATTAATATTTTTAATAATTTAAAGCGCTCTCAACCGGAGAGAAACATCGCATAGACATTTTTCATCTTTTAATATCTAATAGGTACAAATATTCTCAACAATTTGGGCTGTAAACATATTGCCATGATGAGATTTGGCGACCGGATTAATGGTTCAACGCTATCTTCGCTATGAAATTTAGTCGACATGCGCGCCACTGCCAATCGGGGAAATTTTGTTACATTTGAGCACATATATTTTCCAGTTGTGATAGCTGTTTGTCAATGAAAAAAAAGAAATCAATTGCAGAATACGATGTGAACATCGAAGAATTAAAAGAAACGTGTATTATAGAATAGTACTTACCTCTTTCGAGGTATGAGATCACGTTCGATGGATGCAGCTTCTTACTAGGGGCCGTTGTATCAAGGAAGAATGAAAAGTTGTATAGCTGGCAAAATTTTCATGTATAATTCAACCTTTCTCTTCTTTTCGCGTATTTACGGCAATTATAATTGTGGAACTAAATAAACCGAATTTCATGCGAGTGACATTTCAAGACTTGATTGTTTAACGAATATAAATTAGATACCACGAAGTTATAAAGTACACTATTGCACACTTTTGTTAAATTAGGAAAGATTTGGAAATTTTCAAGCGTCTCTGGCATTGAAATATACTGGTGGAAACTTCGTAAATGGAAAAGCTCACATGAAGCGAATGCTGACATTTCAAGAAAACTAACATAGTAATTTACACCACCTGCACGCAACATGGCTTTAACGACACTGGTGAGCGATAGGATTAAATTGCTTGAGCATTACGCATATCGAAGAATATGGGATGCGATATAACGCCATTGCGCGGCATATATATAAGGTAGTTCTGACTTCTGCGGTCAATAATAGTCCTACAACTTGCACCTTAATTATAGTTATTCTACTTTATTTATGACATCAGAAAACTAATATGAGTGACTAACAGTGATCAACGTTACCCTTCTATTTATTTTAGATGCCACATGCTGATTTAGGTTTTGTTGCTATTTTCGTTCATAGTTATCAGCTGATCGATTAAGGCTCAAGGTTAGCTTTAAAATTAAAACCATTTCATTTCAGTTTTAATTATTGATCAATATCATTATTTAATTTAATTATTGATCAATAATCATGAAGGTATTGTGTTTTCAGTTGTTTTCGATTCTTTACAACAAATTTGAAAAATACAGTTGTACGCAGAAAGCAATTGTACGTCTGTGTGACGTCATGCAACACACAGATTGGGGAAGCGTTAGCGTACAGGCATGAGTTATCGCACAGGAAATCTAATTTCGCATCTATCGCATTCATTTATCTGCAATTGCGCTGAAAAGTACAACATCTCGAGGTCCGGCGGAATTTGTAGAATTTATGTTGAAGTATTTTTGATCTGTCAATCATGTTTGTAAGTTAGAATCTCACGTCTTACCGAAGCCAAACCAGTTTTTAAATGTTGTTGTGCTCTCTGCGCACAACTGTACTTCAATTAAGGGGAGCGTCTGGTACAATTTTTGAATTTTGGCTTTTCCGGTTTTTAATCTCGTCTTAAAGCTGACTTTCTGCTCTATTCAACGGTACCAAAATCATTTCTGTAAGTTGATTTATGCGTTCACGTCAGATCGCGAAAGGGTGGGGGTGGTGGAGTTCTTTCACATTTAGGATAGGCGAAAATTCCCGGTAGCATACTTAAATAGCTAGTCCACATACGATGTGCTTCAGTTACCTGCCTGCAGTTGCATGGGGGGGTTTGCGTGTGGTCGTTCACACCATCCTTGACAGGAATTGAGCTCCAGTATCGCCTAGTCTTGCATTCTTGCCACCTTGAACGCTTATTTCGAGGCGCCCGGGACTTTGTCAGGCTCTACTGAACAATTAACTTATTGTCACTGCAAACCTATCTCCTCCTACAGTTTTGAAGCTACAGCGATGAGACATATACCATTCGATGCGCAACAAAATTATCTACAACGGAACACGGACGTTTTTCTAATTTCGTTATAGTTTGGATTTTATTCCGCAAAAAGGGGGGTGGCGGGGGGAAAATCGAAAAATGTTCCAAAAATTTACGAAAAATGCTCCTACACCCACAAAAATGAGAAATCCTAAAAACCGTCGTGTTCCGTTTTAGATATGGTCTTTAAACACGGGCGTTTTTCTAATTTAGTTATAGTTTGGATTTTATTCCGCAAAAAGGGGGGTGGCGGGGGAGAAAATCGAAAAATTTTCCAAAAATTTCCGAAAAATGCTCCCACACCCACAAAAATGAAATCCCAAAAACCGTCGTGTTCCGTTTTAGATATGGTTTTTACGCATCGAATAATATGTGCCTCGATGTTGTAGCTTGAAAATCCTAGGAGGAGATAGATTTCTATGTTACCCCCCCTTTTTGGCCGTTTTCTAAGGATTTCACTTTTTCGTTCATTTTTTCTAAAAATTCACACGAACAAAAATGTCTTAGAATTCTGTTTTACATATGTGTACCAAGTTTCAGAGTGATCCGTCCGTAAATAGCTGAGATAAATTTTACCCCAGACACTCCCCTGAAACGATTCATGATTGAATGAACTATAAATATGTATTAAGTAAAAATCTCGCCTGATATGTGATGCTGCATAAACACCAGTGTACTCTTAAGATAAAAAAATGATAATTTTTCCGCGAACTCGGACATGGTTTCATGCGAATTATTATAATATTTAGATTCGAAACTTCGACACACAGCCCTATAACAACGTGCACATATATCGAATTAAAGAAATATTATTGTAAGGAAATAATACGTCAAATAATACTAAGTATTTAATGGAAAATCCTAGTGACGTGCTTAAATGTTTCTCACGCCGTGGGCTTAATTTGAATGACATTTGAATGAGCGGCAAGTTTGGTAGATCATACATACATTTGTTAATGCATGAAAGGTACAACCAGAAAAATGTGTGAGACTTTGTTTAAATAAAGATGCACTTTTTGTGCTACGTGCATAAAGTGTGTCCCTGTTTGGACAGCATGTCTCATTAAATGTTATGAGTGTATTTGTTTTTTTTCTCGAAAGTTTTAACTAATGTGTAGCGGCCTGTTTATTGTTTACCTAATAATAAACTTAATTTGAGTAAATCACATTCTCGTCGTGCTGAAGCTCATATATTTTCTCCCTCTTGCTTTTCTTTTGTCATATCTTCCATCTTGTAGTCGGCGGGCTTCAGGTTGCTAAGAAAGTATAACAATTAATTATATTGATAATTGATATATATATATATATTATATAATTGATATATATATGTTATATAATTAATATATATTAATACATCAATTAATTTAACAAACAATCCAACACGGAAGGGTTATGTTGAGGTGTAAGTTGAAGTTTACAGTCCTTAAGTTTAGACTGACGCAGATATAAAATCGATAACTCCTATACCTGTAAAATTTGGCATTGTAAATCACCCAATTAGAGATTCCTATTCATTGAAGCAAAGCTATAATTTATAAATATTCGAAGAGACTGTTTGTTGACTCGAGGCCAACAAAGCTATTTGACGGGCTATTGCCAATAGTTAATTATATTTTTCGCTATTAATTTCTGAATTATAAATGATAATTATAATGACTATTGGTAGTTAACTATTTGATAAATATTTGTTAATTATAAGTAATTCAACCAAGTTCATCTCCGATACGTTAAAAATTTTTATAATATACAAAAAGAGACAATCAACCTCCGAGGAGGTGGATGAAGGGAAAAAGGACGAATGGTTAAAGATTAGATTACCAAAACTATAGCGGTGAGTTGAGGGTTCAAAGTGCCTGCAAGCTATTTTAAATCTGCAATGTCTGGAGTCGGCAAAAGACCACAGATGACCTAAGCAATGCTGACAACACGATTACTATATCATAAGTCTCTTATTTCATTAATCTTATTAAATCATAAGTTCGCCAAGAATTAAAAAACAAAGAAAACGCAATGCTATAGTAAATTTATTCAAAGTTTTCTTTGCTTTTAAACAATGATATATCAAATTAATTTGAACTTTTCTTTGCTTTTAAACAATGATATATCAAATTAATATGAAGTTTTCTTTGCTTTTAAATTCTTGGTGAAAATATTTCCCTGGTGAGTGCCCCACCTGTACGGCGACGCTGGGACGGCCACCACAGTGACGGGATGTCCGTTGTAGCGCAGGTGCCACGTACGCCGCCACTCGCCCTCCGCGTACAGATGCCACGCACCGAAACACTGCCACACAAAAGTTACGTTCCTCAACCAACTATACAGTTTCATCTCACACGTTCCGTAAAATTTCGTTGATATACGAATGATTTTTTATTCGTCAGCCTCAGCGGGTTACTTCTAAACCCAAATAATTGAACATCAATGGGCATATAAACTAAATGCCGCATCGTATCTTCAACGAATTTAACAATAAAAAATATAACTCAGTACTCACTGCAGTGAGTGACAGAGAGCGCATTTTCTCGTCGACGAAAACATGAAGTCGCTGACGGACAGACAGACGGATAGACAGACGGACAGACGGACGGACCGACAGACGGACATGGCGAGCACAATAGTGCATTTTTTTATAAATGAGAAAATGCGCTAAAAATACAGATTTCTTACCTTCAGAAGAGCCAAAAGCTGTTTATCGTTATCCATGTTGCCATCGTATTCGACGTACACTACGATCGGATCCTGTCGAGAAGTGCATTTAGAAAACTATCAGATATAGTTAATTATGATAATAATTATAACAAAAAATTAATTATGAACTTTTAACACAAATGAAGCTTAATTATAAGTACACCTGTACGTATTTCAAATCGAGTAAAAATGAGGCAAATGGAGATTAATAAATTTTCTTGAACTTTTATTAATATAAACTAAGATTAAATTAAATAATAAATACATAATTGAAGCTAACATCGATATCATTTGATACCAATAATAAAAAAGCAACAATACAAGCAAATAAGAGCTCACGCACCTCTCCGTAAGGATAAGCATACTTGCAGAAGTTGAAGGAAACAGGCTTAGAATTTTTGATCGTTTGTAGCTGCCACTGGTCGTACGATGTCAGCTCGAGCCTTAAAAATATAAGAAACAAATATTTAGTAACTGGAAGTAACCGTCTCATGGATTCTTGAAACTTTTCAGGTAAATATTATTCTATAAATGTTGCTCCTATAGTTTAATTTTATTGAACAAAAAAATTGATTTAGACGTAATAGAAAACCTTGTACCTACTTGCAACTTCGAAGGATACGAACTCAACATATTTTCTAATAAACTATTAACAATTATATGATCAAAAAATCTGCTTTGCAAACTAATAAATTTATTGCGCATTTTTTAGTTTCTTCTATACTTTGATGGAGGAACAGAAGCTAGAAGGACTCCTATATTTATATATTAGTATAGTATAGCGTTCTCGGCGCTGAAGTGTAGGTCTGGTGTGGCCTGTCGCGGGTTCTTGTACTTTTCGTGACTTGCTCACAGGAAATCTAAAAACTGACCTTTTACTGGAAATTTCAGCACTGACGTTGATTTTAAATAGCCACTAGACTTCTACCAGGTTCGTAGGGATATAATAATATGGTATATAATATAAGATATGAATATAATATAGTAAGTATGAATTTAATATAATAATATGTGAATCTATTAAAATGGTGAATATTCAATTACCTTTCAATATTTTGTTTAGGAATTTCATACGAAGTAGTGAGGGAAATTCTATGAGTGTCGAAGAAAGCTTTTTGAAGCGACCCGTGAATTTGATGACCGCTGTAGCCAAAATGGCGGCACCGTGAGATCTCAGGGTAGATGATAGAGAGGCTCGTCTTCTTGTCCAACTCTCGCTGCAACCCAGAGTGCCAACGCAGAGGCTGTGGGTCGAGACCGACATTTCTGATTTTTTATTCCAAATATTTATATCCTGAATATTCAAAGGAGAATAATTTATCAGCAGAATGCAAATTTTATGACCCAAGTCAAATTAAGACAAGGTCTGTATCAAGAGAATTAACTGAATTGTGCATGTGCACATTTTTTAAATCTAATTACCAGATACATATTGTTTTTTTTTTCAATTCAATTTTCATACGGAAATTAACTATGAACTATACAATGAATTGTTTTAATTCAATTTCCTGAGTCTACATAGTTTTTCAACGCACAGATTCAAGCGTTGGCCAGCCCGGAATGAGGTACTCGTGAAGAGTGCGTGAGGGTACGAGTAAGGCGAGGGCTTGCAGCCGATCTGTCCTGTAGAAGTCAACGAGGGAGTCCGCTGCCGAATTGTAGCTATTGAAGTTGAATGCAGTAATGCCTGCGACTGTCTCATCTTTTTTCAGCACTGGAGCCAAGCTGTGCAAGTATCTGCCAAGTCAAGGCCGATTAAAAAGTTAATAATCAAAATAAATCTTGAGCATGCAAACGTTGAAGCAGCCAGGCGCAATAGGTTACCAAAAAGCCCGTTTTGATTGAATGCAACACCTGAACGGTTTTTATGGCATAATGGTTATAATACCAAACAATTTTACAAAATTCACATTATTAATAATTTGTTTGAAATTTTAGGGATGAGCGTATTTAATCCGATCTTTGTATCCGTCAGACAAACAAAACCCAAGAGATGATAATTAAAATTAATGACTTGAAAAGGACTATTACCACCGCTGAACTACATTGGATCATTAATATTACTGACTTGAAGAAGTCCAATGACACTTCCATGTCGTCCTCAAGGATGACTAGGTAGTCGGTGCGGAGGGTAGGAATTGAAGGAACTGCCTTCATTCCTTCAGGAATTGTATTTGCTGGGAAAGAAGCTCCCATCAATTCCCTGTTAAAGATGATTAAATGGTTAAATTTGTATATATATATTAAGGCTTTAAAAATTATCGCAATGAGATTGATGAAAAATTTATGTTCATAGTCATGCATACATTTTTTGTACCAAATGTTCCATTTGACTATATTTTTTTATTTGCTGGTGGCGTCGCATCAATAAACATCCATCAAACTCACTTAATAAATTCAAATGTTCAATAAAAATCAAAATGTTTTTTCGATATTGGAAGAAACAAATACAATGCTAAAACAAACAGTACATTTTCGATTTAACTTTACTCTATCCTAGCATCAGTTCTTCTCCGTAAAAAAAGTGAAATCGTGGTGATAGAAAATTTTTATGTTGCAAGCCGAATAAAACGAAATTGTGGATTAAAAACGAAATATAACACAAACTTGAATGTTTTATGAATCGATGAATGTTGCACCTCCTACTCTCGCAATGTATCCCAACTACAACCAACGAGAAAATAGCTAGTTTCTAAACGAAGCGTCAAAATTGTTAAAAAATATATCACTCAGTACTCACTGCAGTGAGTGACAGAGAGCGCATTTTCTCGTCGACGAAAACTTGAGGTCACGGACGGACGGAAAGACAGACAGACAGACGGACATGACGAGCATAATAGTGCATTTTTTCCATAAATGAGAAAATGCGCTAAAAACAATTTTACATTCATGGTTCAAGGAACTTTAGCGTACCTGAAAGCATACTGAACTTTGTCTCTGACTCGCACAGGCACCGTGACATTTTCCCCCGGTCTCTGACCCGTGACGATGAGATGGTAGCCGAAAATCTTGGTCAGCGCCGCGATTTCTCGATGCTCTTTTTCTACGAGCACGACAATGCGGCTGTTTTTTTCACCTCCTGCTTCTCTTAGAGCCTTCAGCGTACTGTTATAGAATAGAATAGAATAGAATAGAAATGTCGGCACTGAAGAAATAGGTCCATAGCCTGTTGCCGATTCATGAACTTTTCGTGCCTTGATTCACAAGGGATCCGGCCTTTGAAACCCGATCTTTCCATAACTGACGATTGATTGAGATAGCTGCTGGACTTATTGCCTGATCCGTAATTTGCTAGGCATTTTAAGACTGATAGATACAAAAACTTTTAAATCAACATGTCGAAGAAAAATAATTAATGACTGAGGGCAATTTTTATTTTCATTTGAAAATCAAACTTCGATAAATGCGATCATAAGCTTATCATGAAGCCTTTTTTTATGTAAATATTATATCTAATTTACAAATTTTCATGAGAAATGAGAAAAATAAAATATTCACGTATTTTTAAGGCAAATTTCGATCATCTGAACTTAGTTCTATAATGGAAAACGTTTTAACATGAGCAATATACTCGTATAGCTGCCAATTACCCAAGAGTCTCCAAACAGCACGCACTGTATGGCGCAGCACATTATATACTGTAATAGCGGTTTCAGCGTTTACTAGGCCGTAGGCCTGTGACATGAACTAGCCACTTGTCCATAAAAAACAGTGTAATACTTGGTCATCTCCAAGATTTTTATGGTTCGATTAGTACATAATAACTACAAAACTGATTTAATCTAACTAAAAACTTATGATTAAAGTTTTTTTAATAAATAAAGTTAATTTTATTAAATATTGATGGCCGGCGACAAGAGCTGGCTAATTTATAGTGGCATTGAAGTTCAAAGTAATCATGATTCCGCTTTCCTTACCGGTACAAATAGTGTGGTCTATCAGATGCAAGCACGGCAACCGCAAGTTCTTTGTGGAAAGGATTACCCTCAAGATCCTTGAAGACCTGAAATTATTCGATATTAGAAATATTAGTTTAAAGATTCGTTAAATTCCCAGGTTCGTTTTTCAACACTGCTATTTGTAATTTGATGAACATCTTAATGTTACTAATACCGTATGAATAACGAGGTCAGTCAAAATCAGAGCAGTACAAGAAAACAATACCGTAATACTCGTATTTTTCAACCTCTGTACCATACGTAGAAAATTCTTCATATATGTACAAAAGTAGTATAGATAATAGGTGTACCGTCACACTTTGCATAAACAGCTTAAATCATAGGCCACCACAACCATTTACCCCGAATCTTGTCTAACAAAATTAACCAATTACCCCTGAATAAAACCTATTCATTTACTCACAATCTTTCGTAATACTCGTATTTTTCAACCTCTGTACCATACGTAGAAAATTCTTCATATATGTACAAAATTTCTTCCATATGAAGATTTTTCCAGAATAAATTGTCGACGTGAATATTATAAAAATTTTATAACATCTAATTTAACCTGAGGATCAGTTTTGAAGAAGACATCCTCGAAGTTCTTCACGGAGCACTTGCACAAATCCCCGTACCCATCGAACCGCTGGCAGAACCTTTGCCTGAGTTGCGCGTGATCGCTTTTACCCCAAGGACATAAACCTGATACAATTAATTTAATTTTAATTCTCATTATACTGCATCTTAACAAAATACAATTCAGGTAGTGCAAAATTGCTAGTAACGTAGAAAATTTATGTCAAATATTACTGATTATCGATTATAGGTTGGTACGCTTTTCTCTGTGCTGTTACTATTATAATGGATTGGTTTGGGGGATGTAGTTAATTAACTAAATTTAGTAGACTACCAACCAGCCGTGGCTTCGAGATCGAAGTCTGTACGCAGAAACAGGGGCCCGCCCCACTCATAAGCTGTGTCCTCAACCGCAACGTTCGAGAATGACTCAGCAAGTTTCAGGCCGCCTTTAATCGTAACCAAAATCCACATGTCACGGAAGTTGATCCTGTCCGCGAATCTGGAGCCCATTTCTCGTAGTTTATTGCGCCCTTTCCATGTGAGACCGGTGGCTGCCTCGTCCTGCTCCACCATCTCCTCCTCCGTGCCGTTGTTGAACGTGTCAAAGACGCGCGCGGCGACAGACTTGCCAGTGTGTTGGTGTAGCACAACTACGTGCATACCGCGCTGCGTCAGCCCGCGGTATATCTGATAGAAAAGTTCCGTTTATGATCGAGATTATTTGAACTACACGGGTTGTAATGATAAATATTATGGGATGGTTTATGTACTGCAATGAGTCAATAAAGAGATAGTCAAGTTGATATATGATAATGCAAACTATTATGTTGGTGTTATTGAGAGTATCGTCGTAAGCCATAAGTTGAATTTGTTTCTAAAAAATAATTCCACGATGTAACAAAAAATATCCTGAAGCTTTCATTGTCTTCCATTCAGCGTGGTATATTACTTAAATAAAAATTCTAAAAATATAAATTAATTTAATGTTTCTCATGTTCCAATTAACACATGATAAAAAAATGCTTTATAGTGACGTACCTCGCGTTTATTGATCGACATGAAGACCTTGTCGGCGCTGGACATGACAGTGAGCGTGACGGTGTCTTCACTTATCTTGTGGCCGGGGAATTTCACCTGCATGTTAACACAAAACATTATAAAATAATTGGACAATTTTTCTACTCAACTTATAGCTTTACTCAATTTTCACTGTTTTAAATGCAAAATATTGCTTCATACTCATATCGAAATAATTTAACTGGAGTTTACTTTCTTTATAATATTTTTTATGCCTACCTAGTTAATTATTATATACATTTTCATAGCAATAATAAAACAAAGAATTGTTTTTTAGGTCATTTTAAATAAGAGAAGAAATAAGTCTCTTTACTGCTCAAGTAAAATGTCCCTAAAATTGTTCTTGCTTACAGACATTGTTGAAATTTTTTAAAACGAGGACTGTTAAATCAATTATACAAGTAAAAAACGAAAGTTTGGGTTGGTATCGGTAATAAAGTAACCATCCTTTATGTAAAACAAATGTTACATTTGACAAAGAAACAAAATATCAGAATTAAATCGTATGAAATACACAATTAGCACAGCAAGTAAAGACCTTCATGTAACGTGACCCAGAGAATCGGCATGCTTCATAATAAAAACCAATCTGACTACCCGCAACCAAGCAAATAATAGTATCAACCTTAATAAAGCTACAAATTTATTCTTTACCTTTTCATTGCCAGATATATTCATTTTCGACATGGACCATTCACTATCGCGGAGGTCATCGGACTCCCTTTTGACTTTCTTCATCTTATCATCTTCTCCTTTAGGAGCTTCTACCTGCAGGGCTTGCTCGTTTTTCTGGAAGCCTTTATTCCTGCGGGTGTCTGAGGGAGTATTTTTCTTCGTCAGCGAGACGACAGGCGCATCGTCATCGGGACCCTGAAGGTCTTCAACTTCAGCGGCGCTCCGAAGCACGGATTCGAAGGCGTTCGATGGACGCTTATCGTGCGGGTTATGAATTTTCGGCTTCACTAGAGGGTCTAAAGCTTCCCCTGTCAAAGAGGTATTAGCATAAATTTAACGGAAATTATTCCGTAAAACAATAAACGAGACAAACAAACTCATTTATGAAGTAGTCATCAGATAAAAAAATTAGTCATGTGGTTACCTGGCAAAACTAAGTTGTTTATAAAGTAGTTGCCAAACAAATAAACTTAATTATGCAGTATTTACCAAAAAAGCCAGTGTATTTATGAATTAGTTACCAGAGAAGGCAATGGATTTATGAAGTATTTACCAGGCAAAACTCTGTGTATTTCTGGTGCCTCAGGCAAACTGCGGTCGCTCCAGGTTGCGATGTGCACAACAATCAGCAAACCACACGCCGGTAACATCAGACGCTGCGGTCCCGGCAAAAATAAGTAAATAAATCAAAAATAACTCACCATGTTAAATTAAATATAGTCTAAATTCCCATGAAAATAATTGAAGAAAAAGTCAATTTTATCGATGTATTTTATGTTACGCTTATCTAACCCACTCACTTTAAATAAAGGGTGAAGTCTACCCAAGATTCTCCGCTTGATTGTGCTGGTGACTCCCATTATGACTGAATATTATGACCTTCTTTGTGAAATTTAACTGAATTTAATTTCAACGATGAATAAATCTTAAAAGACAAAATTCTATCATGAATATATATTTGCAATCCACTAAAGGGATTTTTCGTAATAAGTCCAACTATCTAACTGAATTTCAACAATTAATATTACGATTCTATTGATTTCAAATAAGATTATTCCAAGTTTCACACTTAATTAGATTTTTAATGAATTTTAAATTCAAATACATTTATTACTTCTCAGTTCCTAATCAAATAAAATTTCCTGCCTAATTCAAAGGGAACGTTGTAGGACTGCAACACTGCCGGTGACGCGCACTACCGCACTGCCGTCGTGGCCATAACACCCGGAAAGCTTCATCTGATTTTTCAGGGCCAATTTTCCTCAACCTCTCTGAGCTTCACGTACACTAACGCCAGCAGCCAGCTGAACTTCTTATGTAGGGTTCCAGATAAAGAGTTTATCGCAAAATTTATACTGTTTTTTTTTGTGTGTCTTAGAATTTTTTGCTTTATTATTTACTTGCAAACTACCAGCGTATTCTGATGCGAGAATAAGAAAAAGACTCAACCTCATCGAGTGCGATGCATGGATTAGAAATGAAAAGAATGTCGCAAGCAACTAGAACGTCATTTACATTAGGACCTCATCACTGGTTTAATTTTATTTTTTAGCCACGTCGAAGATCCAATGGCACGCTAATTATTAACTAATAACGCAATACGTAAGGTTAAAGAAAATCTGAACTTCTGTCTAACGTTTATTTCATGACAACTTTGCATTGAGGCAACAGGGATGTCGAATATCTCGTAGCCTGTGAACGTAACGCTACGGAGCACATGTCAGCTGTCAGTTGCTGTCTTCGTGGACAAGTGCAACATCGCAGCCAACATGGCAACACTTAATTTCCAGGCATTGCTACAAATAACACCTTGAGTAGTGCTGGACGAGTCATTACTAGAGAGCAGCTTGTCTTCAATACCAGAATATCTATTCAGTACCTCATTAATCATCGGTAATTATTAATCTCTTCTCGCCGGTTGTCGCTGTATAGTCATAACCATTTATCGCCTTTTTAGCCATCAATAAGAAGAAAACTTGGGCTTCAAACGCCCTAAGCACTTATTTCAAAATCGAAATTTACCTATTGTGGATATTTGATATAAATTGTCAGTTCTCATTACTTATTTTTCGTTTGCGGAACGCTTGCTCAGTAAAATTATCTCTTAGAGAAAGCTTTCCAAGAGTTGATGACTCTGTGCATTATACACTGGCAATGAGTTGGCATTAACGCGCTTACAGTCAAGCACTTTAATATTATCTCAAGAAATATAAGAGGCAGGGAGAGTAAATAGTTTCAAACATTTCAGGATTAACTTGAGAAACAAAAAAGGGCTACGAATTGCATGGCTGTCTTTTCAAATGAATAAAAAAATTGAGAGAAAACAGTGAGATCAGAATGCATTCATTTTTGACCTTAACCTATAATAGTTTCCCGTTCGAAGACATGAAATTTGCAAAATATCGGCAATCAGGAAGATGAAAGTAAAAACATGGAAAGAAGGAAGAAGTACCTAAGCTACTCCCAGATCTTCAGCTATTGGAAAGCTATCCCATTTTCCAACATGTTGCTCTCTAGTAAGAACTCGACGCTAAGGGAACACTCATTGACCAGTTCACACGAACCTACTTAACTTGTATAAAGTAATAATAGTCTTTATTAACAGTATCCCTTAGCCTCGTCAACGCGGTAGGTTTGAGGTGAATCCACATCGCGAGAATTTACATATTAAAGTTTTGACGAACGAAAGACTGTCGGTTTGTTGAGATTTATCGGTCGCCGCTTCAGGGCAGACCGTGAAGAATAAACCTATCACATTTATGAAGGAGACACAACATGATAGGTGACAGAACAAGTCAACATCTTCATCAGTTAATGGCGCTGGTGAAAAACATGCCAGAGAAAAGAAGTCTAGTAGAAAGAAGATGAAGAGAAATTTGTAGGTTTCATTCCAGAGGATAGATGAGATCAGATTAAACATTGGGTAGCCATGCTCAGACAACTGGACCATTATAATAGAGGTATATTCTTCTAAGTAAACGGGGAAACAACTCTCTCTGTAGTCTTGCTATTATATATACTTTAATTAGCATAATGGCTCAGTATGCGGCCAAAACAGCGCTACCTAGTCATTATACGGCTAACGCTTTCTTTACCTTGCATTGCTCGAGGAGAAACCTTGTAGCAATATATGTAGACGAAATATTTATGCTTTTTGATAATAATTATAGCCAGCATGAATCAAATTTCCGGATAAATTCATTTATGAAAATAATTTTCGGTTTAATTGGCTGATATAAAATGAAATTGAAAATCTCAACAGGAACTAACATTTCAAATGAACATTAATAATTTCAAATTGAACAAGGCTTCTCTTCTCGCAACAGACACAATATCAAACCTTATAGTTCATGGAATAATTACTCTAGCAGTCACAATCATGATCACAAGACTTGAACTCACAAGACGACAGCCTAGAAAGGTTAATTGGCTGGAACAGAAAGACTAACTCGTCTATCAGTCCAGCAGACTAGAGGATGCATAGCTTGAAAAGGTGCTTGCTAACGCTAAGCATTGATCAATGGGCCTAACTAACTAACGGTTTTCCAATTCTTTTTTCGGAGTCAGAACACGGTGATACGGAAATATCTTCACTTCAATCTTGCAAGAAATTATCGCGGGACAAATGCGAATACCAGTCAATGGGGTCCAAAACCAATGGAAAATATCATCATATAAGTGAAATTTAAGGTCTGCTTAGTAATGTATTTGAAATATTCTTTGCAAATTATTGAGAGTAGTTTTGGTCTGGTCTTGTATGAAACGCGAACAGTTTCAGATTCTAACAAAAACTAAATTTTTTGTAGTATTTAAATATTTCCAAAAATCGCAACAGAAGAGTCGAAAAATTATTAATAACAAATTTCTCATGATACAGATAGAATTCCTCAGTATTCGTTTTAAGTTTTGCAATGAAAAACAGCAAATGGGATTTAATCATGACCATCAACTTTTGCTCCTGCATGCCAGAAATCTGTTCATCTAAGGCTATTATTGGCGGATCCTGCATCATCGCTGAAATTCAGAAGCAGCAAATTGAATAATTAAATTCAGATGCAGCGCGGATTTCATACAAGTTCTTTTCGTTTCACATTGTTTCCGTATTTCGCCTCAAGAATAATGATATCAGTACGAACTTTATTGATAAACACACTCCCTTGTTCGCCATTAATTCGGCCGTTGAACATTGGCAGTCCTTGGCGATCAAGCAAAGAACTTCGGTGGGAGGAAATAAAATCTTACGAAAACTGAAATTCACGCCTCCAAAAAGACCCGAGTGTGAGCTAACATTTTTAGATAGACATTCCAATGAAAATTTGTAATTCCAATTGAATAAGTAATTACTATAAAATTGATTCTGCTTTAAAGAGATATACAAAAAATTTACATCCGCAAACACTGCAATTGCATCGTAGCACAAACAGATTATTTAGATGTCCGAAGCATAAATCTGAAAAAAACTATGTCAAACAAATATCTGCAACTGTTGGCAGATACTTCTAGTGTATATTCTCCATTATACTTTCCGTAAGTTAATATAATGATAGATCGACGTCCTCGCACTCAAACAAGCCACGAAGAGTCACACTGTAGCAAGTAAAGTTCAGGCCCCAACAGTTGTCCTAATAAGGCGAATACTGATTACAGCTACCAAAAGACAACTCAAAATTTACGAGAAGTCTCTTGAATATAAATTATATGTTGTTTGGTTCCATTCCAGATTTACTGAACATATTCATATATCAAGACTATTTTCGAATCTCTGGTGCGACGGCAGTTAAAAAAACTATTACGTTAAAAGATCATGAGAGCGGCAGCATAACGAAAAATCGGTCATTTTTTTCGAGTTCTTAATACGAAGGAGAGTATTTGGAAATCTTCATATTTCATTCCTAAATCCACTCGGAGATGATTCTAAATTAAAAATGAATGTTTGAGACGGGTTTGCATGTTATCTCCATATATTGTTTTGAGATCCCTCTGACACAGGCCGTGAAGGTTCCCGTTACAGAGTGACTCTTCATTCAGTAAGAAACGATGATCTATACAACAGCGTCTAAATTTCATAGACTATATTAAATAATTCTCTCATACAAAGAAAAACTCAGTTGATTTATATTCTAATACTAACAGTCTAGATGGTGCTATAAACAACATATTTATTTGGAATTATCACTGTCTAAAAATCAACAACATTAGTATTAGTAACAACGATTATTATTCTACAAAATGAACCATAAATGTAACACACGCATAAAAATCTCTTCTTAGAATTTCCTTCCTCCGAAAATCTGGAGGAGGTAAGACTCCTCCACAAGTTGCATCAGTCAAGACAGACTAACCAATTAATTTATGTAATTTGTTACTACAAATTTATCTTCAATTGTTATGATGAAAGCATCTTTGGGGCGCGATGAGCTTGGAATATCAATTCCTAAGAAAAATCTGTCAAGCACACACGCGTGAAGCTTCGAGTGGAGTTAGAGGGAACGGTCGACATTCATTGATGAGTAAAAAAAAACTCTGCGGATCGCAGGCAGATCGTAAAAGGTGGGTCGAAAGGTGCCTGCGAATCGCTGGCAGATCGTGAAAGGTGGGTCCAGGTCACCTTTCACTGTCTGGGAACGCACGCATTCGAGAAAAGGTGTGCGCCCCAAGAGTTTTCACCACAACAATCGAAATCGGAACTATTTTTAAAGGGTACAGCTCTATATACAGAGAACCGTCCGGCCTCCACACAAAATCTTGGCAAAAACCCTATCAGTACCACCGATGGAACGATCTCTCGATGCTCTTAATTACTCATATTCGCATAAGTCAACAAACCAGTCAAATAGAAATTCATGTTAATGTCCGAAATATCCTCTGAGCCTTCGAAAGACATCACAACTTCTAACAGAGTTACAATCTTTTGTACACCACCAAAAAGTGGTGTACGTAATCTCTGAAAATTTATTTAGCCAGATGGCTTTAATATAAATGAGTGAACTTAATCGCTTTGATGGTGAACATGTTTTGGAGAGCCAGGAGATTTCCACAAAATTTTGTTCTCGAATTTTTTTACGCCGTGAGTGAATTGTATGTTTCTAATAAATTTCTACGTCTTAGAGACTATACCAAATCTTTAACGGACTACAGACCGAAAAAACTCGAGGCTTTCTAGTCACTGCATCAACCGTCATCTATTGACCCTTGTCTAGTGCAACACTATAGCAACATCGTTAACATTATGGAAGGGTGAGTTCAACCTATACAAAACAGTTTTTCGTGATCCAAACATCATGCAACAGATTTAACATTACCATAAATAAAAGCCTCTCTATATGGGACTCTTTTTCTTGTACTCCGCCAGGGAAGGAGCAGAGAAATAGACCGAAGTGTCTCAATAAACTCTATTGCAATTTTTTTATCTAAATCGCAAATCCAATCATCAACTCGCCGGAAAAATTATTGAAATGAACAAGAAACATGTGACCGTCAATTTCCAATCCTCGTTAGAATTTTACCGATGAATTACGATTTCACGATTAAAATTTACGATCACTATTAATGTGGTTTATTTAAAAAATACTTGTGTAAAGATGGGAATTAAAGATCACTAGGTAATCTAAATCTCAGCTCCTTACCAGCTTCTTCATAAATGTTAGCAACAAAAAAGTATAGAGAGGCTCGAAAATAGGTGAACCTCGCACCGATATTCCTTACATAAGTCGTGTAGCAATGAAGACTAGATTTTTAAACAGAGTATCAACTTGTAAAGGTAATTTTTCGTCCGATTGACGTTACACAAAATAATGGATTATGTATATAAAATATGAACATACAAGAGAAGCAATAATTTTGGATTTCTTCCTCGATTACATTTCCTCGAATCATCCAAATTTGACATATTCATGGACAGAAAATCATTTGAATACGATGCAATATATTCCTTATATTTTCAAATCACTCTATAACAATGAATAAGTAAGATAATGTGCATGAAGCAAATTTATCGCTAGGCAATTAACCTCAAGTATGCAAGACTCCAAGGTAGGCATAAGACGATCGACGATGAATTGTTGGGTAGCGAGTATATAGACCTATGGTGAGGAACGCTTACGTAGAGGAAGCCTAAAGCAAATTAAGCTTAGTAACGTCCGTTAATTAGATTCTTATACTTATATGCGAACATTAAATTCGTAGGGTTTTCTTTCATTCTTCTTATTATAGTTGACGGAAACGCATCAGTGAAAACCGTTGCCGTTTTAGTTAGACCGTAAAGTTAATTGAAATCATTAGTATTCTCTTTTCTGAATGATTTAAAACAACATATTATACAAATTATGTACATAAGAAAAAGTATGAATTCAGTGGTGGCTTGTTGGATTTTCAAACCACAAGAAGAAATTTTAAAACTTATTTGCGATTTTAACGCTAATAAATATGAAGTTGAAGAGGATTTGCATAGCGGTTGGGTCTGACAACAGCAGCAGTCAAGCGCAGCCAAAGGGCTTCAATAGGTCACTCAGAGAAACATGTGAGACTTTGTATAAATAACGATGTACTTTTTGTTCTTGTGTGAGTCATATTGACTGTCTGGCGTCACCGCAGGGCGTATCAGTGCTACGAGTAGAAGTAAAACACTATTTACACAATATGACCTCATTCATTTTGCCGAGCGCAGTTACATCAGACGAAATTAAATGTCTCAACGAGTGAGTAAAAAGATGTGTTCCAAAAAAGATTAATGTTTAACAAACTGTCCAGTATGAAAAAATTCAGACTGTATGTTCTGCTGATTCGGCAAGTTTGAATATGCCTTTGTTTGCCATGGATAATTTTAATGCACAAACCTCCTTGAAATTTTGGTTAAACTTTAATGCGGCGGTGACTATCTCGTATCTCTTCAAAAATTTCACAGAATATCTCTCAAGTAATGTAAAGAAGCAGGCGTTGGATGACGTGAAGTTGACGCTTTAGCATTTGAAGCCCTGAAGCTGCCGCTGAAATCCCATGTTCTGCTGCTGAATCCTTGCGCACGTCTTTGAAGGTGGATTCCTTACTGTAAGACGCACTTACCTGTAAAAATAACAAGTTATTACAACAGAGAAAATTGTAAAATTGCAGCTCATAAACTGTCTCTAATGGATAATTGATTTGAGTGTCATCAATGACCGATCATAATGAATGTTTTGTTGACAAACTGAGGGAAAATATATTATTCAGGGACTAAGAACACATCTGGAATCAAACTGAGGTTTGAAACAAGGAAACACTCGTCATTCTAATCAAAGGGACAATTTATACTAAAATAATGCTAGTGGGACAAGTATCTAGGTTATAATATCAACTTTCTAGATTGTGATAAGAAAATTTCAGATAGAGAGAGACGTTCAAGCAGCTGAGAGTGTGGGAAAAGATCGAGGATGTGCAGTGAAAAAATGTTGTGGGCACTAGAAATTTAATCTAATACAATTCACAGAGTTATATTCAATTTCGGTCTTCTCGTATTGCAGGAAAAAATCATGGAAGTTTTTATTCCACTGAAGTGACCACAATGTAACTTTATTAATATAAAATCTACTGTTCACGAGCAACCGAAAAGAAACGAATTTAACTTAAACGAATGAATGAATTCAAATGATTACATCTCGCTACATTCAGGATTTCAAGAAATCTATAGGCAGAAATAAAAAATTGTAAAATTATGAGAAATTCGAAGCAAATTTCCAGAAATGAGATCGTAAGCATGGAAATTTAGTTCAAACGTTGAAATACAATTACTACTATTATAGTCACACAAAAAATTCAAAATACACACCGAGAGATAGAGAGAGAGTGAAGTGTATGCATATGTGAAAACACTCAATCTAGAGAGAATTTACCAATAGATCAAAAAGCTATAGAGAATTAATGTATGTTTTTCTGAAAGCAAACGGCAAAAGCGTGTGGCAATACAAATGATCAACGAATATTTATTGCCTCATGTAAAGCTTAAATTTTGGACTGATATCGATGTGTAATTTCAAACCCTTCACTGCTTGATACGTTCATTATTTTCAGGTAAGAAAATTGTAGGAAACAATATTGTCTGATCAGGCGTTAGAAGAGCAGAATGATTGACTCAGTTGTGATACATAATTTCGCATCGTATTTAATGACCAATTTCGAGGTTTCTTAGGGAATTACAGCGCATTTTTATTCCTCTATTTAAGGGCCCGTTAGCATTTTTAAAATAAAAATCTGTTATTAAAAACAATTATCAACTATGATGGTATGTTTCTCACGAAACATTATTAGCTTTGCTGATGATGTGATAAGCTAGTAATGTTTTACTAGCGGAAAGAGTTTAACTAGGTCGACCAGTCTTATTTGGACTGGTCTTAAAATTAGAATATCTTCTTTCACCAAAATTAAATGCTTATGGCGATTCGCTATCGGTGCCAAATGCTTAATATATATCCAAATAGATTTAGGTTTATCAAGTGTTTGTGAACTTGAAGCTCAGGATATGATATGTATATACATGGAAGCGAACATATTTGCCGTTGCAATGTGATGAATAAAAAGGTATTTAATCTCATATTAGGTTGCAATTTATTGCAGTTGTGCAAATTACAGAACAATGATCATCTTCATTTTGGAACTATTGATTTCCCCTGATATTTTTTTAATTATTTCATTTGATTCGAAGCAAGCCAAGTGCACTCGATTACTGAGCATGTTGGTTAACATCAAACACTGAGGTCACGTATATAAAAAAAAAGAGAAGTAAACATTGACACAACGACACTATCATTACACACCGAGAGGATTGGATGGTGAGCAAACACACCGAAATGAGGAGAAAATAATCGAAACTCGATGTAAAAGTGGTAAAAGATTTAATTTTGTAAGAAGTTCATTTTGGAGGTGGAGTAAGTGTAAGGCTCATTTTCTTGCAAATGAAGATTGAAACAAGGATGGCAGTGAATATATCTGGAAAATAGAAAAGCTGGACATAAGGGTGGTTCATCGAGAAAAGTCTTCATGAATTATATCGTAGAATGAAATTTCTTGAATGGTTTAGTGATATTAAAATTCGTACGGTGCGTGCGACTAAAATGAATTCCATAGAGTAACATATTTCTCTGACATAAGTGAGATTGTCATCGATTCTACAGAATCTTATGCTCTGTGACGAAAATGTAATTAAAGATTCAATGATGTATTTGTAATGGACACAACTATTAATATTGTCGTTGTAGCCAAATTTTAACCGTTCTAAATTTCAAAGTCCGGAAAATATTCTGGATGTTAATTACTCACATTAAGTTACCTCAACTTGACTTATTTTTATAACTTTTCTGGACCTCTTTTGAGTACAGAGCGAGTTTTTCAGTAGAGAATATATTTTCCAATACAACTTTTCCAAAGTTCTCCAATAAAAAATTTTGTACCCAAGCGATTGACTGGAATAACTAATGGGGATAACAAATTTGCAAAAATATCAATTCCGAGGGGGAAAATTGATAACCCCCGACAATATCGAATAAGTAGGAACGTTATAATATTTTTAATATCACGTAAATCACGTAATGAGGCGGCATGGTCGGAATAAAAATTTATTCGGTAATAGATTATGTAATCAGAGTCATCGTTAAATTTATTATTGTGAAGAAAGGATAACTCGCCTTGCACTGAAGAAATCATGAGTTACAGGAAAAGCAAGAAAGGCTGGCTCAGGAAGATAAGAATATAGCGATGAGATATAGAGCCATTTTTGCAGATCTATATATTTAAACAGGAGGACACATATAGAGTAGCCAAGTATACGAGATATGTAGTATGTATACATAATATTGATATAGTGAGAGTGTTGAATCAAACGCTTGCACTTACCCCCGCTAATCACGTGAAATTTTTCTAATTTTCACCAATTAGAGGGGAAGAGACAAAAATTAACCAGGTTAGTTTGCATGAAAATGAAAGCAACTCACGAGACAAATCAAAATAATATCAGAAAAATCAATTTACTTTCTACGCAGTCCCAGGTACGCTCTTATTTCATGAGTACAGCTCAAGGCTACTAGTAGCGAAGATATTATAATACAAATTGCACACAGTGTATTTATTCAAAACTAGTTTGTTAAAAGCAAGTATAATTTGTGGCTAGATTTAGTTGTACTGTTAATTTAGGAAAGCTGATTTAATGAAAACGCAGGAATATGATAATTGATAAAAGAAAATGTGCATAAAGCCCTCAAATTAACGATGGCACTTATAGTTCTAGCTTTGAGATTACTTGAGTTGCTTACAATGACCACAATTCAATACTCTTTGAGCATTACGTGTATGCAAATATATTTTCTATTTAATTTGTGTACGTGAAACTGCCATTGTTATTTAAATGTGTTTTGGTTTAAAACAGAAAGTTATTAAACAGTTAAAGGTTATAAAATATTTTATTCACGGGGCAGTCAAAAAAGTTTCGTTTTAAACCCAACCGAAAACCTATAGACTGGATGATATAGGATGTTGTAATACCAGACTCGCCATGTGTGTTCATTCTATTATGTTAGGGTTCTATTTGCCGATGCGTATTCCGGCATGACATATTCAGAAAGTTTTCCAAATGAATTTAAGGTTTTATTTCAGTATTTTATCAGTTGATCTAACCACAATTCCGATTGTTAAGATTTTTAAATTGCCTCTCTGTACCCTAAGAATTTTGGCATCCTTACAAGAAAAAAACTAATTTTGTTCGGAATTTTGATCAGCATATATAAAATGATCGATCAACAAATTTAATAAAATGACATTTCTAAATAACTGGCCAAATAATAAATAATGAGCTATTTTTTATTCAAGTTTCATGGATATCAAAATGGAATTTTATAAAGGACCTCTTCTAATTCCACAATTTTCAAGACGTTCATGTGAAATGTATCATTTGCGAGTGTAGGTGTTAAACTGAACTATGTTCGCTGCAAGTAATTGAGCCTTCAAGTCAGTGTATATACAAAAAATATTCGTTGTAGAGGAAGCTAATGTTTACGGTGATAATTACTGAAATATCAAACAGTCTAGCGCAACGTTACTTCATTGCAGTGATTGAAGAAAATGTTTAGTGAGGAAACTATATGGCGAGTTCAATGTCTCATAATTTTTCTACTCACCATCGGTTGCAGTAGAAACTTTTTCTTTTTTTTTTAAAAAAGGAAAAATAATCTATTTAGCTACCAAATATCGGATAAAACAAATCAGTGCTGAACTAACACAAAATGATCATAAATGTAAGCTAAAAAAAAGCCAGTGCAGATTTGTCTTTTCGATCCGGGCTTTTTGTGGTTCAATATAAAAATTTTCTATCCAATCCGATCCCTAAAATGGCTAATCCTACATGAAAAACTAATAATGAAACATAAATGAATAATTTTCAGTTTAACAAGCACCGTTATTTAGGTTCTCATTCATAACATTTAAGTATAATCTTTAACTCTATATTATTGGTGTTTTAGAACCAGCAGTAGGTCACTCACCTTCGATCTGCTGCTTGACTTCGCTTATTTGCGTCTCGATGGTGTTTTTCAATTCTGCAAAGAAATGACACAATTTTGATACTTATTATTCGCAAACTAAAAAAAGACCGAGATCTTTAACATCTTTCTTAGTATAATGTAAATAAAAATTATATAATAATAATAATAACATTCCTTTTGGTTTTTGGAGATATTTCAATATATCTCTGTCATGCCGAAGACTGCTAGCAGTAAATCGGTGAATTTTTTATGCAATATAACGTATCGCCGGCGCTTGAAAAAGCTACACTGCAAGTGTTTTAAATAGAAATTTCATATTAATGCTCAAGGAAAGCGTACGAAAATATTTTTTAAACGTTACTTACACTGGCATTTCATTAGAAAAAAACATGGAATTATAATTGAGGCATGGATGGAGGAGGATTTTTTTACAAACGTCATGCGAGAAATCTTAGAGTAAATCAAAGTGAAAACAGTGTAACAAAAATTTAAAGCTATCGTAACATTCTAAAATCGGTCTAAAAAATTCAGCTGAAAGCAGAAGGCTGGATCAAAACTGCAGCAATCAAGCAGAGTGCACGTCGAGCTCCACGTATAAATGTCGCTCTCTTGTCTCTGCCGCGCGGTCGTAGGAAGGAGCCTACAAATTTCAAAGGCCCCCGTGGAGTCTGACATTATATAAACGTTTGCAGAGTTGAGAACGCGCTTAAATATTACTGGCCCTGCAATCTGGCAGAGTGATGCCGCTTAGGAAAGTAATGCACGCGGGACTACGACCTCCGCTACTGCTACTTCTTGCAACACAAAGATGAGTCGCAAGTTTCTGGGGAATATCTTTCAGGAAGCAAAGTATACTGATCTAAAAATCTATGTTCGTGAGAACCAGTGAATAATTTGAAATAATTTACGCGTTCTATTATAGAACTAAACTCAACATACATACATACGTAAGTAGACCCAGAAAGGTTTATTGAAAATATAATCGTCGATCCAGCAAAATACATTGCTGCTGAAAACATTTTTTTTCTACTGGCATTGAATGCAACTAAATTGTTAGAGTGAATAATATTTATATATATGTAATTACACAAGTATAGTGACGACAACAAGAAAACTGCAAGTGCGAGAGGATAAAACGCACAATACTGGGAAATTTTACCATCGAATTTTAAGTCATCGTTTCTTCTACTTGAAGTCAAATGAATAAATCAATTCAATTAGATGATCTGTGCGTCGCGTAAATAATATCTTTGTGAAACAATATCGCTGACAGCAACTTACTCGTAAACTCGTCCTGGTCCGCAGCCTCGGCCTCAGCGGCGAGTTCCTCAGGAGTTTTTTTCTTCCTCATGAGCGGGTTGTCGGGCATGGCGGGCTCAAAGCTCTCCTCGGGTTCAACCTTCTTCTCGATCTTGTACTGAGAGCGAAAAGTTCAGACGATCAACAAAAAAAATATAAATTTCATCATAGGAGTTGATGCACGGTAGGAAAAAGCTTGAAGATGCGATGGATGAAAAAATATAACTCATTACTTACTGCAGTGAGTGACAGAGAGCGCATTTTCTCGTCGACGAAAACATGAAGTCACGGACGGACAGACGGACGGACAGAAGGACATGGCGAGCACAATAGTGCATTTTTTCCATAAATGAGAAAATGCGATAAAAATATGGACAGAGGTTTAAAAGTAGAACATTTCAAGTTTAGAATTGGTGCAAGACAAAATGGAATATTAGTGGTGGGAAATGAATATACTGTGTGATGAAACGTCAGATGGGGTGCACAAGGAAGGATTAAAGTTTATGTCAGGAACAAATTATAATATACAATTATAATGATTTGAAGGAGAAACATTGAAAGAAGAAGCGCCTTGTTCTTACGCTAAATAGAATCAGAGTTAGAATTCATTAAATGTTGGGATACAATTATAAATTAATGCAATATGACTCCTGAAATGACACAATATTCAAGTCCGCGACTAATATTACAACGCCTCCATGTCGAAAAACCACACCGAAACTCACTGCCTACAAATGTTTCACAAACAATTACGAGCAATATATTAATGAGATATAGCTTGGACCAAAAATCTCCCCAACCCTTCACTTCGAGAACAGCGGTATAACTTCCTTTATACTGAACTCGGTGTAGGAACGCTAAGCTTTGTCGTGGCCGAGTGAAACGGGCAGAGCAGATTTTTTTGCGGTTGATGGATGAAGTTGCGTTTGTAACTCACACAGGCAGAGACTGATGACTGAACCTGTGAAAGCTCTTTGCCAGGGCCTCACGGATAAGAATCATCGGAGGCCGATGATTCTCTGAAATGCGGCTTGCTCTGAACAATCTCGTGATTCCGCTGTTACACAATTTTAAATTGATGCTCAAGTCGTAAACTGTTGGAATCTCGTTCGACACACAAATATTTTCGGTATACTTTTGATTATTTGATCATAATGGTTTGAAGTGTTTTATGCTGCTGATTCCTTCCTTGGATGGATTTTTTACTGAGTTCGAAAATTGTGATTTTATATGATATAAAAATGCAAGTACTTTATGGTTACGATTGTGGTTTTTCTCAGGTAAAAAAACACACAAAGAGTTGTCAGCGGGGAAAAAAAATTTCACCTGGCAAGTGGAGTCTGCACCAAACTTGGGCAGTGAAATTAAATAAATTACCAGCACCATTACGTACACTAATCGGATGAGAGCGCTGCATTTTTGAGGTGGAATATTGGCTTACTTGAACGCAAACGAAAACGCGCCCGCCGTATCTGTAGTACTTTTGGAAGGCTGGTCCTCACAGAGCTCCATTCCCCAGTTGTAATCCTACGTCGTGGTCGACTCTAGAAGTCTCTTCGTTTTGGGACTTCATTTCTTGTTGGCCGAACAGACGCTTCCATCAACCATAATGCTTCAGTAAATAGGAAGGGCCTTGGCCAAAACAAATACGCGACCATTCCTTTAACCTCCCCTCCGTGACTCATGTTCGTCAACTTCCCAATTGTTCAGAGAAGTTATGTAGGTAAAAATTACCTTACAACGACATAATCGTTAGCTGGGATCACCTCAAAACGAGATGTTATGAAAATATGATGTGAAATTTTCTTTATGAGGGCACAAATTAAACGATTCCAATGCCATTTGTACCTGAAGGCCTCGTAAAGAAAGTAACTCATAGCAGACTAAAGGGTAAAACAGCTACAAAAATGACCCACAATTGAATCTGCGCGAAATTTACAGTATATCAGCACGAGACTAAAATACGCAAGGCTTCATCCCAAATGAAGTCCATTCTTATTCTGAAACGGCAAAAAGATCGTCGGAACATACTAAGCTTGGGCAATATCAGTCCCACTCGAGTACCCTGGGGGTCATTCATTAAAAGATATTGGCTTTCTAGTTGGGAGGCGAGGGAGGTGAGCGTCTGTTTGCAGTCAGTAATGAGCTTCATCTGCCAACATTTATCAGGCATCATTGGCACTCCATCGACACTCGTCCGCCGACAGATAGCAATTAAAAGTGACTATGGAAATTTTTCTATTATTTCCTGCGTGGCTCATAAAGTGGCGTGATTGGATTGGCGAACTTTACAGTTTGGAGGTTGCAGTTTTGATATAAATTGATGGCTTGAATGAACAAAGTTAATTAGGTTCGGCAATAGAGCGGCTGAGCGGGAAAAAGCATTCGATCGGCCGCGATTTTCATATTGACGCAGCTTAGGATGGACTGCAGTGTAAAGCAGTTCATTTATGTAAAAAATACAAATACCAAGAGATCAGAAAAATGCAAACATTACATATTACATCGCAAATGAAATACATATTCCATAGAAATAATGATTTGAAGAGCGGGATAAACGGAAAGCCTTAAATATAAATAAAATTCAACGACTTTTCCCAAGTCACGAAGCCAAGGAAGTAATGGATTATGGCTCCACAAATTCACGCCAATTCGCCCTTCATGGATAACAAAAAGCATAATATTTTCTAGGAATTTGAGCGCAATTTCTTGCACCAAATTTCAAGCTCGGCGGTTTCCTGCGTCGGGTTATCACAATCGATGACGGACGAGCTCAGCGTTGGCGCCTTGCCAGTTCGTTGCTGTGGCCTCGGATTGTCGTCGGGCCATCACAGTGCAATGGGGCGTGAAGCGTGGCATGCAACCAAGCGCCACTCAGTGTGGTCGGGGAGTCCTATCAACACTCAGTGTGGGTTAGGGAGTCCTATCCCCTCTCAGAAGGTTTCGGGGAGTCCTATCCTCTCTCAATGTGAATTTGGGGAGTCCTATAATCAACAATTTGTGTGGGTTAGGTAGTTCTATCCCCTCTCAGAGAGTTTCGGGGAATCCTATCCCACTCAGTGTGGGTTAGGAAGTCGATCCTATCCCCTCTCAGAAGGTTTCGGGAAGTCCTATCCCCTCTCAATGTGAATTTGGTGAGTGCTATCAACACTCAGTGTGGGTTAGGGAGTCCTATCCCCTCTCAGAGGGTTTCGGGGAGTCCTATCCCTCTCAATGTGAAATTGGGGGAGTCCTATCAACACTCAGTGTGGGTTAGGGAGTCCTATCCCCTCTCAGTGGGGTTTAGCGAAGAAAAATGTTGGAGAAAACCTGAAGTTTTGTGTGGCATAAACCATACAAAGTTCAATGATTTAAGGAAATTTAGTAGTCGACAATTTGAAATTTTTTCGCGGTTTTTGGAGGGAAGCAGCAAAATAAAGGATGGAACTGAGCAAAATTCCCCACCTAATCTTGCCCATGGAGAGGGAGGCATGGAACACGATCCCTGTCATTCTTCCATGTCTCCCCACGGGGCTGTGAGGGGGGGGGGGCTCCGTACCCTCTTTCCATCAGGGGCATTCTTTCGTCTTCGGCTGGAAGGATGCCAGAGAATTTTGGAGGTCCGTGTGTTTGCGTCGGTGTTTTCGACGCGAGTTCATAGGCTTTTTTATTTTACATTGGCTCATTGGCTGTCTCAAAATTTCTTCGCGTAGAACATTGGACGAAATTCTCTTGAGCATCAAGGCATTCTCATTTCGCTTTAACATCTAAAACTTTAGAAAATTAGACAATTTTTGTTCAATTGGATCAAGGTATTGAACTCCACGTAAGAAATTAGTTTCTTACATTCATCCGTAATTGAAAATAGCTAAATTTCTTCCAGTTAAATCGTCCTAATTTCGGTGATTGTCCGCTAATGACTGCATTCGATGCTGATATTAAAAGTGGCAACGTAATTTTCGAAATAAAAAGGTCAAACCGATTTTGAACATCTGCTAATCACGATTTCCAGTTAATAAAGCGTGAACTATAAATTGTGGCTGAACTACATAACAAAGAAATATTTTATAATTTCGACTGTTCATTGGTGTTGCTATGACATAAATGCGAGGCAAAGTGGTAATTTTTAAATGCTAGGTAAAAATTGTTTCCTAACGAAAAAATTGTGTCAAGCGGCTAAATGATTCTATTTCGAGAATTACGATCCATTCCTGATATGGCTTGCAGTCTCTGAAATATTTGAGAATTCAGTATTGCAAGAAACCGTTTCTATTTTCGTGTCACAAAGCTTGAATTTTAAATTCGAAACACAAGACATTGTTATATTTAATTACGAGCAAAAATGCTGATAAAATTCTGATGGTTATATGAAAAAATAGCAAATGACCTTTAACGCCATTCAGCGTTTAAAAAAAGCGAGGATCAACAGAAACTCTCAAATAAAGGTCCATAAATGCTAGACTCGACAAAATGGCAATAGATACCATTTTCTGGCGGAAAAGAACGTAGATTTGTCAGGTTACGGTTTCATCCAACAAATCACGGCCATCGCACCTCAGGGGCAATTTTTCACTGCCGGTTGCTCGGGATGAGCCAAAGTACCACAGTTCGTTAGTGCCACGGCTAAACCAAACCGCGTATCTGAACGCGGTTTTTCGCGCGGAAATTCCAGGGAAAGAGTATCCCGGATATTGCACGTGGACGAAATTGATGTGGAACGATGCAGGGTTTTAGTGCAATTGGAACGCACTCATTGAATGTGCACACACACGGAATAATAATTATTGATCGAAAGAGAAGTTTTTGCGGCCAGTGACTGCGGAAGTTGTGTATTACATTAATTTACTATGGAAATTAAACCTATACACGATAAAATGATACTTAAGATAAAATGATGTTTTACTATAATGTTCGCTTTAATGTTTTTATAAAATCAAGAAATTGTTTTGCATTCTCGAAGTCTAGCATTTATAGGCCTCTTATCTTAAAGAAAGCGAAAAATATAACAACAATTTCCATTTATAATATCAATCCCAGCATAAAAGTAATAAATGATAAATGCAGCCACGTAAAATAAAAAATTCAGAATATAAATAATGTTTTCGAGAGTGAAGTTAAAATTTCCCAATACTTTAGTGTTCTGAGATATGATCAATCTTAGATCATATCTTAGAACACTAAAGATCATATCTTAGAACACTAAACTAAAGCTATGTCAATCAGGCACCATCCATCATTCAACTGACAGCGGGGGAAGGCAGGCTTGTGATCATCTTCAGTCTCAGATAAAAACCACATTAAAAATTAAGCCGCCGATTTATCCCCTTTGAGGTGAACTAGAACGTTGAAAAGTTCGGACACGTTCTTTTACCAACACGTGAAAATTAGCTATGAAATCACTTGGTTGAGAACATATATAACTTGATTATATTATAATTAATATTATTATTCTTATGATTATCATTATATAATAACAATTAAATAAAGTTCTGACAAATTAAAAAATGTTTGCCTCTTAAACTTGAAAGCAAAATAAGTAAAAAGAATGGAGTTAAAAAAGTACTAAGACCACTTGATTACTTACGTAATCGCGAGTTTATCATGAATTTAAACGCAAATAAAACTGTCAAAAAGAGTGGGAAAATGGCTGACAAAGCAATCAGTTCAATGAATATGCAATTATAAATTCGTTTAAAGTATTAGATTGAATAACTTTAGGTATCAGATTGAATTATTCTGTCATTTTACCGCATACTGCATTCACATTTGCTTGTTGAAATATTATCCTAAAAAATATTATAGAAAAGTCGTACCAAATATGCCATCAACCTGCATTGATAGGAAATGTATTGCCGTTATATGCTTTATCGTTAATTCTATCAGTTCAATTTGATCACCTACGTAACCTATTTTCGTCGTGTTCACTATCGAACGTCAATTAGGAATTAAATTTGGTTTCATTTTGTGATAATTTTGGAGACTCTAGTAAAAACCCAAAATGGCTACCCAAAGCGCTTATACCATTTTTAGCGCATTTTCTCATTTATGGAAAAAATGCACTATTGTGCTCGCCATGTCCGTCCGTCCGTCCGTCTGTCTGTCTGTCTGTCTGTCCGTCCGTCTGTCGTGACCTCAAATTTTCGTCGACGAGAAAATGCGCTCTCTGTCACTCACTGCAGTGAGTACTGAGTTATATTTTTTAGAATTCAAAACTTGATTATGGTCACTCATTATTTCGAATTTTCCTCACGAATAACGTTACAGATCTCCGAAAGTAGAAGCTTCATTTTAATTCTTATTCCGCTCGTCGGGTATAATTTTTACTTCAAAAAAAAAATTTATAAAAATTAGAGCTGCCAAATTAAGCCCCGACGTGTTCGAGCAATCAAAATGCATTTTAAAAATCAGTGACATGTCGACAGCTGTCAGGCCTTCGTATCAAAAATAAATAAATCAATAACTAATAATTATTTGATAAATGCGAAGCGATGGACGCGTTTCGCGTCAACTTCGCCGAGCGCGTGAAACTCTGCGAAACATTTTGTTCACGGACACTAGCAACGATGTTTCGTATTTTACGTTTGTCTAATTATTCGTAACTAAACATTGGTAATGAACTTTTTTTAGAAAAAAGAGCCATCGCTCGTCGAGACAAATGATGATATATAATGATGAATTTATGCATTCATGGAACACGTTTCTGGATATTATATGGAAAATCATGCAATAAATTATTAACAATGCATGAAGATTTTCCTGATGATATTTATTAATTAAAAAAAAACTTTGATAGTGTCTATTGAAAATTTGATTTTTTATATGTGTTCAAATATCATGGTAATCCATGCATTTTTATTATTTGGTCACATTTTGAACCAAAAATATCGTTTAACATAAGATCATGACGCTAAATTGCTTTCATTTAAATATAACGAAAAGTATAAAGGAGAATTAAATTATTGGGCCAATACATTTGGATATTCGTGAATTTTTTTCAGAAGTTTTTGCCTACATGCAGTGTAGAATACTCTCCAGACGATCAGCAATCATTCAGACAATCAGGAAACATATCAAGCGCTAGACACTGAAGTAATTCCTGACGAATTAAAACAATATTGATCAGACTAGTGGTAGTATTCGTACTCTCGTTAATACGAACCCTAGATTGTAAATTCAGCGCAAACAAAGCAGCTATCTAGACGTGGCAGCACAGAACAAAACTGAGCTGATTTCATTCTTTTTACTCCTACAGCAGAGGAACGCTTGCAGGCGAAGTAAACTCATATGATAATTAAGCGTATTATAGTTCATGTTTCAATTAAGTAAGTGTGCTCATAGAACATTAGATAACTTGATTTAAGTACCTTAGATATCGTCCAATAACCAAAATAGTTTAAGTAGCTTAGATATCGTCCAATAAACAAAATAGGTGAAAATCAAAACAATTACGCCACCCTTGGGTACAATAAATTAAGACGCACATAATCCCGGATTTGCGGTCCGTTTACGCATTATGTGTGGCACTTACGAGTCTAAATTAAATGTTATCGCCCAGCCGCTGAATTAATTGGCTTGTATTCAGCATCGTGGATTCTACATCGTCGCGGGCATTCTGATCACCAACACAGTAATACTGCCATACAAATTTCTTACGACGAAATGATATTCTGCGTGATTTTATTGAGTATCCCATGAGTAAGGTTCACGAATAACATGATTCTGGATGCTCCGATATGTTAGTTCAAGGGTAGTGCTGAAATGATCTAGTTTTTATGTTACATAAGTATGAAATAATGCATACTTATTACACAATTATTATGCACACATAAGTATGCAATTTTGCAAACTTATGCAATTACTTGTTGCTTATTTTTCATATTCTCAAACAAAATATTGAGGGAACACTCATTGTAAGATGACAATATGTTGTGCCGTCAATGCTGTATGTTCATAACATATGGTACTACTCACACACACAGAAAGAATAGTGCCGCGAACTGATGGAATTTACAGAAGTTCATGATAATTTAAGCAATAATGACTTGAATATGTTACTGACCGACCGTCAGGTTGTAGCGGGCCATCTATCGGCCGCGCTAGCAACGCAGTGCGTTCATGTTTAAAACTGCAAATGTTCTCCATATGCAACTACAGATTATAGGATGTACACGTACATTTTCCTTCCAAATTAGCCGTGCAGCAATCGTAAACTTTACTATGGACACACTCAGGTCCTCTGAATGTAATATGACATACTTTTTTGCTCAGTTTTTGTTCACGACTAGCAGTTACATCAACGCCCCTAGCAGACGAATTAATGATGTTTGCTAATTTATGGGAATCTAATCTATGAACTGTGGCATTTTCCAGATTTTATCGAACGTTTAAATATACTTTTCATACATAGAAAATTTCCTGGGCTTATTAGGGTAACATGGGGCAGCGAGCCCACTGCGGGTCANGAGAATATTTACCAATATTTTGTTATTAAATACAAAATGTCACATGACATACCTTAATATCCCGAGATGAAAGAGAATATTTACAAATATTTTGTTATTAAATACAAAATGTCACATGCATGACATACCTTAATATCCTGAGATGAAAGAGAATATTTACCAATATTTTGTTATTAAATACACAATGCCACATAACCCACCTTATCCCGGATACCCTGTCTCATTAATTCCCTCTCTTCCTCCATCTTGCGGTGCTTCTCCTTACGTCTCTCCTCCTGTTCCGCCAGAGCCTCCAGTCTCTCCCTCTCGGCCTCTTCCTCTTTCTCCTTGTCGGTCTCGCTGCTCTCGCCACCTCCCATCGAGCCTGAGCCAGGTATAAAAATTCGTGAAGTTATTTAGTTGGTTAAGTTAGTTAAAGTTTAAATTGTGATAAAGTTGATTAAATTATGAAGCATTCATGTTTGAATATCGCAGGGAAGTTATAATGGATTTTTCATGTTCGGGGTTGTAAATGTTTTAAAAAATTCATCAATTGATTCTCACGTAACTCGTCGCATACTATGGAACTTGAATCATGGAAAAAATCATGTTGAATTATTAGAAAAGATCTTTAAGTAGGGTTCCATGAAAATAAAAATATTATACTGGAAGAGTGGTAATTTATCATAATTACTGTTCGGGAAATGTAGGAAGGAAAATCTTATCATTTTTAAGAATTTGAATGCTATTAAAATATAATTTATAGATTATGTTGATTCTCAAATTTTTTTCGCGAACTATTCTGCTGTTAAGTTGGCGACAGAAGTTGTGGTGATTTTTCGTAAATTAAAGTGCACTAAAGTCTTTTATGTTTTCATGGAACTGAATATTTGTGAGTGACTAAGAGCGATGAGCATTACACACTGTGGTACCTTTGCTCTCGACATTCACACGTTCGAAACTGACAATTTTCAAAGCTAACAAATTTTTTTAGTTAACGAGCCTAACTTGTACCGGAACCTAAAGTTTCTCTATGAAGCCAGTTTGTGAAGATTTACTGCGAGCCAGGCTCCAGAGAAGGACTGTAAGTTTTTAATACTACACAGTACCTCGTTTCGTCTAGCAATTCCGAAAAAAAACTATCTTCTCTACCAAAGAAAGATAACTTCTGAGAAGGAAATGAAAAGGTTATGACGGAATACCTATTGCGTTCAGTTATCAATTAAACATGCGTTTCTCGGGAAAGTAATGCCTTTAAATTTTATCCTCGAAGATGGACTTTATATTACATTCATCTATTTTGTGTGTGAATAATGAAGTAATTTGCAACTGAAAAGTTCCACTGTTCTTTTTTGTGCACAACGAAACCACTTTGAAGTAAAAGGTGACCAGATATTACAAAAATATATGTTGCGACCTCATATTGGAAACGACCTCATATTGGACACATTCGAATTCGCGGTGAACATTTTTCGATTTGAAAAGCGGAAAGTTATCTACTTACTACCTTCTTATGTAATCTAAAGTAGCTCTAACATAAGACAAGTGATCGCGCATGCATGGGTTGCATAATACAGTGTATACATATCCTTGAAGCCGATCAATGCCCATGCCGAGAACAAGCTGCGTACTCCAAGACGGTAACTTGGCACCGCTCGTCTTTGCTTTGCTGGTCAGACAAGCAGTTTCTGTCATAAAAATCCTGCTTCCAAATACTGATTACTTCGATCTCTTACTGTCATTGCTTTCGATTTAAACCTACTTTTCGTATACATTTTTCCTAGCGTGACGTGTAGATTTTAATGCATTGTGTTTGTCCGTAGTTGCTTTAGATATCATTATTTTGCGTCTGTAAGGTTCAGTAGCTGAGCATGCTTATCCCATGGCCCATTCACAATTTTTCATATAAAATCCATTGTACTGATTATGGTTGCACTGGGGGTTATTATGAGTTTATATTAAGTTAACGGCAAACGATCAACATACATAATGTTGTCTAAGTATCGTCTACATATCTCATATTCAGGACGACTCGCACGAAATTGGTCCAGTCATTAATACGAGAAAGGGCAAATCCAATAAATGGATGCTAACACTCGTGTTTTCTTAGTACAAGGACTGATAATACTCATGTTGTCTCAAGACGTTGTTCTGTTGACTCTGGCTGGTAACGCCGCTCCTATTGCACAACTTTGCGACTTGGTCCATCACTGAGACGGATCGGTAAAGTCCTGCTACAGGACTTGATCCTGATGTGAAAGAGGCCCTGGAAGTCTGCTTTGTTCCACTGTTTTTTTGCTGCCTCCGCGGAAATATTATGTTTAAAACCCAATTTAAACTCACAAAAATGGGGATAATTTTTCAAGAGGGTGATAGAGTAAAAGAGTGAGTTCTGCGAGAAATTATGCTTACTTCGAGTTTTTAATTTGTTTTGAAAATAACTATCATACACGTACACGGGTTGATGACTTTTAATTAAATAAAATCTGTGTCATTAAAATTTTTCTATGCATTTATGTGTTGTATTTTGCGATCGATAAAAATTCGAAATGCCTGTTTTTATTTGGAGAGAAAATCAACGCGAAACTTTGCTAATCCAATCGGCCCCCCATAACTTATGGAGAGGATAGCAAATAGAGGTGCTTTTGTGATGCTCGAAGAAGAATTCTCCATGCGTTACTCTTGATTTTTAAATTATTCTGCGTCGGGTATTCCAGGACATTATAAACTTAAGAATAACTCAAAGTTCACTTGAATTACTCGTTTCAAAGTCGGGGAAACTAAAATAAGATCCCAACTCGCGTAAGTCTTCTGTTATATGCCAACATAATCAAGCCTACTCAGATTTTTATGAAGAACAATCAGCTTTCAAGAACAATGGTCTGTCCGCACAATTTGAATGGCCTCGGCTAATTGTTTGAACATCCGAAACGCACAATTGCGAGGATGACAGCGAATTTGACAGGAAAAAACTTTGACAGCGGATGACAGGAGAAAATTCAGCGAATCAAAGAGAAGATATGGAGTCTGCTTGGAGCTAAAGCTAATTAGTTGTTAAATAGTTTGTATATAAATAAAATACGAAGATGAATAATTATGCTTATCTACCACATTTAAACCTGTCATGTACCACCTTTAAATCATTATGTTACACGTTTAAATCATTTTAATGTTCAAGTTATGATTGAGTTTCTCGATACGGTACTCAATTGAGTACAATTCTTTTTGTTTATCAAATGAGGCTCAAGGAATCTATTATGTAAACATTGTTGTGCAAATTTACAGAGTAACGTAATTGAAAACAAACCTGCATAGCAACAATTTAGCCTGACAAAAATTGCTGAAAGCTAAGGAAGGATCATCTACATTAGATACACAAATTAAATTATCAAATTAAAAATTGAATGAAGACACAATTCACTTATACACCAGATATGGTAAGAGCACGTTTTCCATGTCCGCGCTCATCAGCAAAAAAAATTAGTTCTCGACTGATATTTATCCTTACCACTGTCTACACAGACAAAAATTAATAAAATTTTTACACTTAATTATTTTTAGTTAATATGCTTCCAAATAACTGAAGCGAATCTCCACTCACGTGCTACAAATGAATCAAGATTAAAATATGCACTCGTGAAATTAATTGGAAAATAGCAGCCAAATGGAAAAAAATTCAATTCAATGCCAAATGGAAAAATTTCAATATGAGAAGAAAATTCCTGTAAATATCCACTTGTTCCCAACTGCCTGAAAGCAAAGCCGTACAAACTGAGACCTCGCAAAAGAAGTCCCGGAGAGTCTCACAATAACATCGGTCAATTGCAGACATGGAGCACCGTGTTGGTTCAGAGCCAAGTGTCCTCTTGGTCCAATTGGTGTTTGTAAGTCACAGACCGAGATATGAAATTGACTCAAAGCCTGAGAGTCCTTCGTTAAACAAAATTAAATTGCCTCTTCGCAAATGTCAACAGTGATTTAATGATTTGCTTAGGAACTGCATAGAGATTTTAAATGCTGTTTGTAAAGAAAGTTTATGGGGTATATAATTAATGTTGCATAAGGCTTCATGTAAGTTTAATGTTTCCTGACATTTTTTTAAAATATTAGAATACAACAGAAAAAATTATATACAAAAAGAAAATTACCAAACAATTCTGATGAAAAATAATCTCAGTAACATCAACGAATGTAAATTAGATTAACAAAACGAAGGAAGCAAAAGAATTCTAATTAATACTCAATATATCACAAACAAAAAAAAAATAATAAGCTTCGATAAAAATCTTATCATAAATTAATCTAGATCCTCATAATAAATAAAGGTGGTAAATAAACAAGTAATTTGGTACTCACTGGTGACGGCACTCATAGGATTGAGCATCCCGAACATGGCGGCGGCTTCTAGTCTTTCTTCGTTCCGCTCAAAAAATATTCCTTCTTAAGCTGCGTTGGTTATTTGCGATTAGATTCAGAATCCAAATGAGGTAAATCGTTCTCGTTTTTCGAAGTAAATTCACATACAAGAACAGGAAACTTTTTTCAAAGACTAATTTGAATTTGAAGTAATTTATAGAAGTAAAATATCGAAATGTTTTCTATTTAATGGGTTCTTATTTTCACTTTAAATTGGCTTCCACGAATAATCTTATATCTTAAGTTATTTATAAGTGTGACTATATTACACTTTGTTCAAGAAAGTTCCAAGAAAATGCGAAGCAAAATTCTAGTCAAGAGTTAGAAAAAAGTTTCTAAAAGACAATAGCGGAAAAATAAATCTGAATTTTTATTCACTGCGAAGAAAAACATTTTGAAAAATGGTTATTCTGAACGAATATGAAAGTCTACCTTGCGTAACTTGGAAGCTGGAATATAAAAGTTTCCAAAGTTTCAAATGTTTTCCAGAACCTAGAGACTTTTTGGATTTTTCACAGAATATAAAATTGTTTGAACCATCAATGGGGAAAACATCACTCACAACTAACGTTGCGAAGTTTATCATTCCACATATAGATACGGTCAATTTGTTCAAAAAATATAACTCAGTACTCACTGCAGTGAGTGTCAGAGAGCGCATTTTCTCGTCGACGAAAACTTGAGGTCACGGACAGACGGACAGACGGACGGACAGACAGACGGACATGGCGAGCACAATAGTGCATTTTTTCCATAAATGAGGAAATGCCCTAAAAATGGCACACTTTCTTCAAGTAGCACTAATTATGCGCCCCAGCCATGCCAAATAGGCCAGGATGAATCACACATGGACATTTAAACGCATTCATTTTAGGAGAAAGTCTTACTTATTTATTCGACTGCAAAACGGGAGTATTTACTTAAATTATGAGAATATATCGATCATAGTTACCGTCTAGTTTTTAGCGCATTTTCTCATTTATGGAAAAAATACACTATTGTGGTCGTCATGTCCGTCTGTCTGTCCGCCCGTCTGTCCGTCCGTCCGTGACCTCAAGTTTTCGTCGACGAGAAAATGCGCTCTCTGTCACTCCCTGCAGTGAGTACTGAGTTATATTTTTTCTCTATCCAACCACAATTGAATTTATATATTTCTTCATTGCTAGACACACCCTATACACTACTCTATTGAATCGAAAGAAAGTTACACTACTCTCTCCACACACTGCTCTCTTTTGATTATTAATATGAAAGTGACATAAAAAGAAATAGTCATGGATTCGGGTACAAACTGATGAGTTTTTTATTGAAGATATGGAGTGAGGTCAAATGGTCTGCTGACACTAAATGAATGACCATAAGCTATTCGTTTATGAACTGCCGATGCTAGACGAGTCCCGCATCTACAGAGTCTAATTTTTACCAATAAAGACAGAGAAAATTAAGCTAGAGTGAAGATCTATTGAGAGAATAAAGGATGATACTCTGCTAGCTTATTAGGGTGATGTAAACTACCTTTAGATTGATAAAGTAAATAGGAAGGTTATTCTTCAAATATTTGTTTTAATGTTTCTTCCTAAAATGAATTGGTTCCTATGTAAACAGCGAGTATTCTCGTTATTTAATTTACTATTAAAGGCAGATTCTCATTCATAGCAATATAAAAATATAGTTGCGATATCTTTTAACTTAAATTTCAATAGTTGTTTAAATTGATTCAACGTAGAAGAGCCCTGTTAACAATTCATTAGCTTCTCAGCATCGCAGCAGCACACATGTTCAACTTGCACGAGTTCAAAGCATGTTAAATCAATCCATATAATTCCTGAACTAAATCATAACAACATCTCTGACAAGTGTTCTTGTATTTGAGTTCCTATATGTACACGTTAGAGCGTCGGAGCTTAGTTATCAAAGGTTACAAGCTCTTCTCCAATTAGTCAGTATTTGAGGACCTCCCAACTTCTGGCTTCCCTCTGGACAAAGTTTACCCTTGACGTCCCGTGTTATGCATCTTCTCACAGGCTCTATTGAGTCAACATCTATGAAAATCTTCGCTAGATCATGAACGGCCGCCAACTTAAAACTTTGGAAAGGTCACTGAATCTCTCAAGTTTATTTTTGTCGATGAAGAATATTCCTCGNCTAGAGTAATCAAGTGATAATATCTTCCGCCTAATATATTTCAGTGCGGACCACGAATCGCCCAGATCGGAATTAACAAGCCTGTTATTCTGGCATTGCCAGGACGGAGTCGCCGTTTAATTACTTCTGCTCATGTTAATTAAACTGACGTAGACAGGGAAACGGTGAAGTTAACGCGTGTTCTTTGCCCTAATCTGACCGAGCACCAGGTTCTTGTATCTATGATTTGAGAGATTTAATCGGGAAAACAAATTTATTGAAACATTAATTGAAAAGCGCAATTAAGCCAGGAAGTTTGCCTAAAATTAGTATTGAATTTAATAAAAAATTGAAACATTGCTTTTTGGCTTTGAACTTTGTCGAGTGATTTTTATAACTATATCTTATGCCAAATTTAATCACATGTTGAGAGGCACACATGTTGCTTCTAACCGGAATTCTAAATCATTCCGACATTAAAGATATACGCAGATATCAATTGATTGAACAGAACAGCTTAGAACCATTACCTGCGCTATTTGATTAAAAAAGATCAATGAAGATTCAACTGATTAATTTTCAAAATTTGATTCCGCACAGCAGTATTCAACCATGAAGTATTCTGAAGCTATTGTTTCGATGTACAGACAAGTATTATGCACTCGTATCATTATTAATACGAGTAACATAATATAATAATATTGTAATAATATATTATAACAATGAGGTATCAGATATATCAGTCAATTGTTAAAGGTATCTTTTTTACGCAGACGCTCTCCGTAAGTTGGTTGGCTGAAACTGCGTAGATTTCTGTACAATTATAATTTAGTTCGGTGAATTTTTTTATCATATTTAAGGATAACCTATTTTCCTCATTTCGAGGAAGAACGCGGAAGATGAGTTTGTACCAAAACCACGTGGAAGATAATCAGTTCATAATCAATTAATTGAACAGCCAATAGTTGTGTTGCTATAGTGACCATAATGAATGTTAATTAGATGATTCATGGGAGAATATTATCTAANTACTCACTGCAGTGAGTGTCAGAGAGCGCATTTTCTCGTCGACGAAAACTTGAGGTCACGGACAGACGGACAGACGGACGGACAGACAGACGGACATGGCGAGCACAATAGTGCATTTTTTCCATAAATGAGGAAATGCCCTAAAAATGGCACACTTTCTTCAAGTAGCACTAATTATGCGCCCCAGCCATGCCAAATAGGCCAGGATGAATCACACATGGACATTTAAACGCATTCATTTTAGGAGAAAGTCTTACTTATTTATTCGACTGCAAAACGGGAGTATTTACTTAAATTATGAGAATATATCGATCATAGTTACCGTCTAGTTTTTAGCGCATTTTCTCATTTATGGAAAAAATACACTATTGTGGTCGTCATGTCCGTCTGTCTGTCCGCCCGTCTGTCCGTCCGTCCGTGACCTCAAGTTTTCGTCGACGAGAAAATGCGCTCTCTGTCACTCCCTGCAGTGAGTACTGAGTTATATTTTTTCTCTATCCAACCACAATTGAATTTATATATTTCTTCATTGCTAGACACACCCTATACACTACTCTATTGAATTGAAAGAAAGTGACACTACTCTCTCCGCACACTACTCTCTTTTGATTAATTATATGAAAGTGACATAAAAAGAAATAGTCATGGATACGGGTACAAACTGATGAGTTTTTTATTTAAGATATGGAGTGGGGTCAAATGATCTGCTGACACTAAATGAATGACCATAAGCTATTCGTTTATGAACTGCCGATGCTAGACGAGTCCCGCATCTACAGAGTCTAATTTTTACCAATAAAGACAGAGAAAATTAAGCTAGAGTGAAGATCTATTGAGAGAATAAAGGATGATACTCTGCTAGCTTATTAGGGTGATGTAAACTACCTTTAGATTGATAAAGTAAATAGGAAGGTTATTCTTCAAATATTTGTTTTAATGTTTCTTCCTAAAATGAATTGGTTCCTATGTAAACAGCGAGTATTCTCGTTATTTAATTTACTATTAAAGGCAGATTCTCATTCATAGCAATATAAAAATATAGTTGCGATATCTTTTAACTTAAATTTCAATAGTTGTTTCAATTGATTCAGCGTAGAAGAGCCCTGTTAACAATTCATTAGCTTCTCAGCATCGCAGCAGCACACATGTTCAACTTGCACGAGTTCAAAGCATGTTAAATCAATCCATATAATTCCTGAACTAAATCATAACAACATCTCTGACAAGTGTTCTTGTATTTGAGTTCCTATATGTACACGTTAGAGCGTCGGAGCTTAGTTATCAAAGGTTACAAGCTCTTCTCCAATTAGTCAGTATTTGAGGACCTCCCAACTTCTGGCTTCCCTCTGGACAAAGTTTACCCTTGACGTCCCGTGTTATGCATCTTCTCACAGGCTCTATTGAGTCAACATCTATGAAAATCTTCGCTAGGTCATGAACGGAACGCCAACTTGAAACTTTGGAAAGGTCACTGAATCTCTCAAGTTTATTTTTGTCGATGAAGAATATTCCTCGCTAATAGGTTGTTGGTATTTGAAGTTCCCATTAAAATTAATTTTTCATTATTTTGATGAATGGAATGATGGAACGTGAAAATGTCTCGATGGAACGTGAAAAGTCAAACAGTTGTCTCGAAACCATCGCCCAATTTTTCCGTAACAATTCAGGTTTTGATGATTGCGTTACGGTTCTATCGTTTACCAATGTCTTTTACTTATTCTCCTAATTAAGCTGTCTTATTCTCACCCCAATTATCTAATGCATGGGCTCACATGTTAGTATGCGAGGACTGTTCGTTCAACAAAATGGCGTCGATGCAGCGGCTGCAGTATTGACTTTATCCAGGGGGGCTCCGCGCCAAGGCTGGACTTTTGGAAGGTAGCCAAGACCGTGGCACGGAACGACTCGGTCATACCCTCGCCTTCTTCTTCGCCCGTGGCCTTCCCCTCCTCGTATTCCCTCATTATATCACGAAGGGAAATAAAAAATTTCATGCCCACCAAGCATCTGACGTTGATATAACGTTGATTAAACGTCGTTTCAACAATATCAACTTTTATTCAACCTTGTTTTCAACTTGATTTATATGTAGAAATATTCAATTCTAAAGGCATGGCCAACGGTTTCTGGTTTCGAAGATGCAGTAACATCGAACAATTAAATTGCTTTTTGATGTTTACCTAAGGATGCAATCCTGTCAGAAATGTCACGAGCAATGC